AGAGAATGAATTAGAGCAACAAAGTGTACTTTCTCTCACATTTTTTTTTAATCATTTGACCCCAAGCAAGGTGATAATGCCACTAAGACACATGGAATTACTGGAAGTAAAAGATAATGAGAAGACGAAGAAGGAATTATAAACCCAATCCTAAACAGGAAACAAGGGATAAACCTCTACTCCTGTTCAAAAGACTGTGAACTGAGTGATAGTCAAACCTATCTACTCCTATTCACTACACAGTTCAACAAACTTGACATATTTTTTCTCAAGTTTCTTTTAAGCTTTATAAAAAAAAATTCTGGCATTTGGTCACTGAAATATTTGCATGGCTGCTGCTCTTACCTGAAGATTTCCTCCTGTTCAAACTCTTCTTTTTTGTCAGTTTTAAAAATTGGAAGCACTCAGATGGGGGCACAATCTAGTAAGGTGGTTAGTCTATGCACTCAAATCCCAAATTTTTCAAAACAGCCACCATCTTACCAGCCATATGAGAAAATACATTTTCTTGTAAAAACGAAAAAACTTTTTTGGAGCTTCCCTGACTATTTTTCTTTCAAAGCCCTCTTTAATTGGCACAGTAAATTAGAGAAATATTTTATGTTAACTACTTGGCCCCACTGATAATAGTCATCAAAATACCTTCATTAAAAAAAATCTGTAGTCATGAATTTCCTGTCGATTTTGAGGATCCTCAATTTCCTAAACCATGGAGAACCCAAGTGGCACCACTGTAGAGATTATTCGATCTCCAGATCACTACAAAATGCCACAAACCCAAGTTGAAATGTATACTCAATATTGTTTCTGGTTGGCATTGAAATATTTTGTTACCCACTTGTCTGTCAGCTTCTTCAGACCCAATTTTTCCTGAATTATAACCCCAATGTTTTACCTGGAGAACTCTTAGTTTCTCTGGAATTCTTTTGAATGAGATTTGTTGATACCAGAAAAATGGTTCAGGCCATAAATAAATAAAAAAGAAATCTTAAAGAAGTCTTCAATCACACCTGCAAAAATTAAAAATTGCTTCCCAAATAGATCCCATATATATATTTGGCCAATTCCACCATTCCGTCATTTGCTAGGACTAATTTCAAGTCACATGAAGGTGACATAATTACAACAGACAAATCTAATTTTTACATATATATATATATACACACACATGCACACACGTGTGGGGTGTAATGGATTGTGGCTCTGAATGAGAAATCGAATAAACTGAGCTCAAATTCTAATAAAATTTATTATATTCACTTATGCAAAAATACTTTCTCTCTCCAGCTATGAGTTAAATACCAGGTGAGATTTGGCCCTATAGCCTTGATTGGCATCCATTCTAGAGATGGTCGCTCAAAAAAATTGCCCATCTCCCAGCAAGCCTGGGCCACACATAAGGGTGCATTGGTCCATAAAAATACATAGTGACTGAAATTCTTCAGTCGTATGAATTGCACATTCTATCACATGCAGAAAAAGCATTTACATACACACACACACACACACACACACACACGCGCGCTGTGTATTTCAGCAATAATAATTCTTCCTAACATGTTTGGTTGAATAATATCGACAAGTTCTGACTATCAATTTTTTATTGACTTATTAATATTTCCAAATTAGTTGATTTATGTAATCAGTAAATTTACCAAAATTCATATTTATTTTTATCTTATATTATTTTTTCAGAGTACTTTCTAATGTTCCTACATTTGTTTTCAAGAATTGTGTTTTGGGTATGTTACATAACTATTTTTAGCTAATCCAAGCATTCTCATGTTTGCTGGAACCAATTAGGGTCCTAGCTATGGGCAAATAGTGAACTCCCAGTCTAGCCTACATCCTGGGTATGACGATAAACTACATCCGAGTCCGTGGGTATGACGATAAACTACATCCGAGTCCGTGGGTATGACGATAAACTGCATCCGCATCCTGGGTACGGCGATAAACTACATCCAACAGAAAGGACGTTTTTGAAAAAATAAGGTTGTCAGCTATACGTTTTCGAAGGAATAATGTTGCCAGCAATGCATTTTTGAAAAACGATATTACCAGCTATACGTTTTTGGAAAAATAATATTACCAGCTATAATACATTTTTGGAAAAATAATATTACCAGCTATAATACATTTTTGGAAAAATAATATTACCAGCTATAATACATTTTTGGAAAAATAATATTACCAGCTATAATACATTTTTGGAAAAATAATATTACCAGCTATAATACATTTTTGGAAAAATAATAGTACCAGCTATAATACATTTTTGGAAAAATAATAGTACCAGCTATACGTTTTTAACAAAACCCTATGCAATGGAACTATAACAGGGGTCAAAACACTGTGAAAGTGAAAAAATGGTTTTTAACACCAGAAACTCTTTGTAAAAAATTATTACCATCAATACATTTTTGAAAACCAAATGTTGCCAGAATTGTGTTTTTGAAAGGAAAAACCTAAACAAACCTTAAAACACAAAGTAATCCAATGAACCAAACAGGAAAACAATGATCACAAATACACATAAGATACTTCAATGGAACTGTAGAGGTATAAATAAAAAATTATTACCAGAAATAAATTTTTGAAAGAAAAAATATTACCAGCAATATTACCGTTTTTGAAAAGATATGCCCAGCTATACGTTTTTGAAAAATACTATAACCAGCTATACGTTTTTGGAAAAATACTATTACCAGCTATATATTTCTAAGGAAAGAGATATTGATAGAAATGGATTTCTAACAAAACAAATATTATTGTGGGGGGGGGGATCGTCGGCATTAAATGACCCATTGAGGTTGATACACTGTAAAACAAAACAAAACAAACAAATCTTAGTTTTGGCTGCAATCAACCTCAGTTGGTCAATTTGACTTAAAGCATCATGAAATTTTGCAATCCACTTCTCACATGTTCAATCATACACTGTAACTTTTGCATTTCATTTTAATTCACTTAAAATAAGAAAAAAAGTATAATGTGCCCCCAAAATTGCTTATTTTCTTCCATCTTTTCCATCAAAAAAGTATGCCAATTTTGACATTCAACAAAATGTCTGCCAATATAGCAGCTGTCCCAGTATAATCAAAGGTTATCTTTTCAATGAAGTCAGTTAATCCCCAATGTCATCTGACAAAAGAAAAAGAGAACAAATGTTTTGGCCAGCCCAATACTTTTCATTTTATTCTTACACAGGATGCAATAGAAATACCTCCCACTTAATGGTACAACATTAATGGCAATGGTTTCTTTATCTAGCTAATGTTTTACTAGGTGGTATTTCTGACACGCCCTATACAGGGGTGAGTCAATAAGTCTGTAGCTTGACACCATTATTAGGGGAAATCTGATGTTAAAATTTCAATGTATAATGTTTTCTATGATTAATATTCACCACTGAGTTAAGTATATTGAAAAGAAAAGGGGTTATTGTTTTGTTGTTTTTTTTTGTTTTTTACTAAATGTCCACCGAATGTAAGGCCCAAGAGCCACTCAATGTAGAGTATTACTGAACGAGATTGTTGTATGGACATAAGCGCATGAAGTGCAAATTATGTAGGATAGATAATGGTTGACCCTAGAGGTTAAGATCATGATCATGGAAACCCCTTCTCGGGGAATATGTTCTGCAAAGTAGCAGTTCTTGGGAAGAAGCTGTATTAGTAGAATTTCCTTCTTACTAATGGAATACAAAGGGAATGAGGATGGTTCAAACCTGTGTACATAGTATAAGGGTTATGTAAAATATTTTTCCTCATTAGCTGCTGAATTTATTGATGTACCTTTGTAGATTTATAATTTTCACATTAATCATATTTTCTTATGTTCTAAAAAAGGTAATCTAAAAGTTCAGCATAATACATTTTAATTATTGGAAGAGTAACTTTATAAAATTCTTAAAAGATAGTGTTTTCCACCTTCAGTTCAGTTTATGGTGTATGATGCAAGCAAACACACTTTTCACTACATGCATAATACAGATTTTCTCTACTGCAATCTAATAGACAGTTACATGTAGAACAAGAAAAGAAAGTTCCAAATTTTCTTCCAACGTAGATATGTTAAAAAAACAAAAACTTTTCTCTTTAAAAGATTTAACAGCTACCAAAACTGACCAGTTAGAAGACCTTAAATGTATCTGTGAACAAATATTTCAAATATACAATAACAGGAACAAAGTATTATACAAAGAAAAAAAAATGCTGAGAAACATTTGTTAGAAACAAAGAAAAGATGTTCTGGTTTACTATGTGATATCCATCCTCTTATATGGCAGTAAAGGCCAGACAATCTCCCCACAGATGAAGAGAAAACTGAAGGTAACAGATATTGTTCTACAGAAGGATACTGAAAATTTAATGGATGGAGCAAGTAAGCAAAAAGAAATCTTAAAATGCAACAAAAAGAATACTTATACTCAAAATCAGGGATAGCTGAAATTTCTTGAATACATGAAGAAGGAGGGCTTGGAAAACTAACCCTCACAAGGTATAGGGAGTGCAAGAGAGATATAGGGGAAGGTAGAAAGCCACCTTCCTGACAAGCTTGCGTGAGTGGATAGTGGAACAAGGGGTCAGAGCCTTAGCAAACGTAAAACTGCTATGGGCCGCAAGGGATAGGAGGCTTTAAAGAATCATGTGCTGAAGGGACTAGGCACCTAGAGAACAAAATTAGCTTTGATATAAAGCTATGTCCATGTAGCACCCAGTGACATGATTTGTGAGGTTATGACACTAATCCTAGCTCTGTAATGGGTACATCACTCTAATGTTGAAAATGCAATCATAAATTAATTTTTCTTTATTTTCACTATTAATTTGAAAAATTGTTTCTTATGAGAGATTATTTATGCATTACAAAAATATCAGCATTCAGTATTTCATATGTTTTAAACCACTTTCTTTCACAGTATTAAGCATGTTAAAGATTACCTTTTTTGTCTAATTTTTACTTATCTCTCTTTTTTTCTTTTTTTTTCACCATAGGAATACTACCCAAGAAGATATCAATAATATTTGTTCAAATGCTCTCGTGAATTTTGGTATTCCTGAGAAACGGGGTCAGTGTATGAAATTGTTGAGACAACTTTTCCTGGTTCTACAGAACTTTAATTCCAAACCATGGTAAGTGCTATAAAATAACAAATAAGTATTTTATGATCAGTAAGCCCTCTGGGTTAAATAGCAAGACAGACAAAGTCCTTTAGCTTTGGTTGGCAACCAGTCTACCAGAGAAAATAATGACAGGCTACTGCTAGAATTTTTCTGCCAAGTCAGTTATGAATCAAAATGAGACCTGATCACACAAGTGTGTATTACTCATGGCACCTAAATAAGGAAGACCTGATTTTACATGAATTCAGATTTAATGATTGTGTCATTATGACAAGGTGGTAACATTTTAGGAATAGATATAGTAACCTTGGTTCAATATTTTATTGCATAAAAATCCCTAACAGATTAAAAATAATAATTAGAAGCCATTGTGGTATTAGGAACACTTGCCTGTCTCATCTCCAGAATAGTAATCTCCCTTTTGACTTACTATTAATAACCTCCCTTTGTTGTTGACGCTTCAAAATAAAATGTAGACATCTTGTTAGTAGTTCCCAAATTATTTTTTTATCTGGGTTGCATTTTCAGAATCAAAATTTGCTCATGTCTCACTAAATTTTATATGATAAAAAAAAAAAAAAAGAGAGAGGGTTAAAGGGAGATAACCACAGATTCAAAGTCAGAACATTATCATTGATAACTCTCTCCTCCAATTTGCAGATACTAGTTACTATATTCTTAATATTTGATATAATGCAAAAATATCACAGTGATAAATTAAGTCAATAATTATTTATAACTATTTATACTGGGACTCCTGCCTGCAATTACAAGTAACCTATAATAATATTTTAAATTTGGAAATCATATTTATTTTTTGGCATATGAAATTTTTGAAACTGTTTCTAAATCTGTGATTATCTTTCAATCATTCCGCCTCACCTGCTATCCTCGTTTGCCACACCTATGAGGCGTGCCGCACTCTTTGGGAACCACTGTGTTAGTTCATTAAACCCTTCTAAAGCTCTCACATATTTTTATCACTTCAGCCATAAAATGAGTTTGCAGACGACACCAGGAAGATTTGAACCAGAAATAAACCACATAAAATTCATTAAGACTAGATTTTCCCCAATCTACCCAATTGTCTCCAGGGTAGTATGACAAGATTTAATGTCTTCTAAAATTCCACAAATTCCTTCTATGTTTATTTAAAATGCTATCAAATCACACAAAGGCATTCCTATTTTTAAACATAGAAAGGTTATGGGTGCATGACAACTCAACACCACTGACACCAAGATAACTCAGGACTGAGACAACTCATCCTTTTCAAATGCTTTATTTGAAGAAAAATATTCAGTAATTAAGGTTTTAATACTTAATAAATTACTTTTATTAGGTTATAAAAAAAAATTGTGTTTTTCTGGTGCTGAACTGTCCTGGCGCTCAGTCGGCAGTGTTGAGTTGTCCCTTCCCAAAAGGACATGAATATTTTATCAAAAAACAAACAATAAATCGATAACAGAAATGCTCAACTTTTCTTATATAAATCTTCCACCAAAAAGCAAGGATACAAAGAGGCCAGATGACAAGATAGACGAAATCCACTGAAAACCCTCTCTCCTACTTCTTTTACCACCACCACTACTACTACTACTACCACCAACACGTTTACAGACAAGATAAACAGTACCAAGTCCAAGGTATCTCAAATTATTACAAATTACTGCTAGAATATTTTTCCCATTGTAAGATCATCAATCAGGCTACATAGGTTAATAATTCTTTACTCATTTTAAATGAGTAAAGAATAATTTTAACTTTTAAATTCTTCAATTTTCATTAAACCCATTGTTGGTTATCAATAAAGTTTACTGGTTGTGCTGTGAAAGTAGATTTCAGCAGAGTCAAGAACATTAGCACAGCTGCAAAAATTTCCCACCTGAAATCTTCATAAAATCACAATGACCACTCAGCAAAATTCCCATAGAGATCTGTTTACCTTCTGACTTGCTAACATCAACATGCAATAGCTGTGAAAATGAAAAACACTGCCAAGTGAGGATGCCAAAAATACTATCCTTTCGGTAGTGCTGGGACTGGCAACGACAGATCAACAAAGCAAGAGGGTGCAGTACAGAATCAAACAGGTTATATAATAATAGAATACAGGTTTGCTCAGTTCTTCAAAGACATTTGCATGAAATTAGTAAAAGATTTATAAGTCATGAAAGAAGAGCTTTATTTGAGAAAAAATTGGCATGGATAATTTTGAGATTCTTCTTGATGCATCTACTTAATAAATCTGCCATTAGCATCAATGATTGCTTCAAAACTGTTCAAAATGTTGACATGCCCAAATCAGGCAATGTTTATTTATTTTGGACATTGTGCTAGTTATGATAGACTTCAGATATTTTATAGTGTTAAGGAGGCATTGATTGGCTTCCCTCTCTACTATGCCCCATATTTAGTAGCCCAACAGATTCAAGTCTGGTAAAGCTAGGGGTCATATATTTAGGGTATTGTGATTGTGGAAGTTGTAACTCCTCCATTCTTGGGTTGTCTTGATCTTGAGACAGTACCAAGTCTTATTGATTGGTGTACAGTCTTCCTTCACACTTTCTATCCAAATCCTCATAACTCTCTCCAAAACCTCCTTATAGTCAACAGCATTTACCCTTGAGAATTAGGAAAGAAGTGAGTAGGCATGACATCTCTTTCATTACTCATGATTTTCAGAATCATTATAGTTGCCAGAAACTTTGTGTGCATGACCATTTGAACATCTTTAGGGTTTCTGCATAACCATCTGTCATTCCCTCAGCTGACCTTTTGGTCCTGTTCAAAGTTTTTTTCTCATCAGAACATGAGTAAACTCTAAATCACTTTGTTCTGCATTTAAGGTAATGATTACATCATGCCTTTTCATTTGCAGGGTTATCTTGATGTTTGCCATCATTTATCTGAAAATTAATGATAATCAGGACAAGTTAGAAAAAGGTTAGAGCTATTAAGACATGTTCTCAAAGATCTGAGCAACTCGTGTATATATATATTATTATTTCTTGAACAATTTTGGTTGAGCACTGTTGAGAGATAGGGTAATTTTAAACAGCAACCGTCTCAACTAATGCAACATTCTTCATTGAAAATGAATTGAGTACTATGGCTGTCTGGCATTTGTTTATATTCACAAAAAATAATATGCTAGAATTTCCCTTTCCCTCTGCCGTGCACTGATAGCTCAGGGGTAGAAACTCTGACTGATGCCAGATTGATCAGGTTTTGATCCAAGCTTCAATCAGATGTCTAGCCACCACTGTGATACAGCGAAACATGCCTGTATGTGGATGACATATTATAATTACTCAGGGTAGGCAGCTTGTGACCTTTATATAGTAAATCTACAAAAAAATAAATATTTTCCATTTTATGCATAATAATCAGAGTGACCATCATAATTTTGTTGGATTAGGAGGATATTGTGCCACAGAAAAAAAATGTACCTACTGATCTATTTTATTCAGCACCAACATTGCCTACCTCACCGGCATGTCTGATATATATATATATATATATATATATATATATATATAGGCACTCATATTTGAGGATACATGCTTACTAGGGAGATTAGCCAATCCTTATTGCAGATCCTTACTTGGGCATATTTGTTTTTGTTCAACACCCACAGTGACCACCTGTGGTTTATACAGCAACTATGCAGAGCAGACCTTAGTTACAGTTTCTGAGAAAAGAGTATGTTATCTAGTTTGATCAACGATCTGAACAAGGCCAGCATGCTCAAACCCTCAGTCACAATGGCTTGTGACTTCATGCTATCACAGATTTCAACAGCCCCCACAGGGGTAGCACCTACCCAATTTCACTCACAAAGATTGGGTCAACCTGTGGTATGTTTTTCAGGCACTTTCCAAAGGTGCCGCATACTGGGATCAACCCCAACAGTCTGATAACATCAAAAAGTCTCCTTCCTGACAGATCAACTGGGGTCTTATGGTCAGAAAGCAAATGTTCTAACTAAAAACTTGCTGAATTTTAAAACTGCAAGCAAACAAATTTTGTCAAATCCTGATTTCATACAACTGCACTTTTTATGATGATATTTTATAATCCTCAATAATTACATTATAACAGAATCATATGACACTGAAAAGTACTTTTGAAAATGGCTAATTAATTCAGTGTTAATTAAATATGTAATTATAATCAAGTCACTCAGAAATTCAGCACTGGGATTAATTAATATAAACTAGTGGTTCCTCAGCCACATCAACTATCCACCTTCCACACTTGGATGAAGAGACTTCTTTTTTGGTATTAGATATACTGCAAATTCAAAATAAACTAATCTAACACCAGACAAATTTCTGTAGCTATATTGCTACACCTACAAATCTAGAGCATCAGCCACTACAGACTGCCTGATCTGGCTGGCATGTGGCACCTCCTGTCTAGATAATGTTAATAAGATAAGTGTTCAAACCTTTAATTTCAGGCAACAAAATAAAACTGTGCATAACTCTTATGTTAATTTTTTTCTTTGTAATGCATACATATTCCTTAAGTGTAAATTGTTATGTAGATTTTGTATATATTAAAACAGGGGTCAGCAACCTTTTGCTAACTGTGTGCCGACTGAGGGTTTTAAAATCATTCAGTGTCCCAACAGCATACGTATTTTTATACAAGTCAAGGTCAATATACCTGTTCTACAATATATTTTATATAATAATATATACAATAATATGTAAACCAAATTAATAGAAATAAACTGTTTCTAAAAAATATTTTTTAAGTTTTTATTATTAATGGGAGTCCAACAAGTGAGCAGTTTTAAAAACAGCTAAATATCTTCTTTGCATTGTAGTAGTTATTGGTTCAGACTTTATGATGTCGTTTGCAGCTGCATGCCATTGAAAATTGCTTGGTGTGCCACAGGTTGCCTACCCCTGTATTAAAAAAAACAAAAAAAATGGGAAAATTATTCCTTAGTTTAATGCCACTTCATATTACCCCTTTTTTCTAATTGCACCCATTTACCACTCCTCTTTTTCCTCAGTGCATTCCACTCAATTTGGGAATCACAGGTGTAGACGATATGACCCATATGAATCAGTTTCATTGTTATCTCAAGCTTGTTTGATCTGGTTGTTGTACAGTTATCTTGTCTATTAATTTATTTATTTTTTTCTCTTTATGTTTTTCAATCAGCTAAATGTAAAGCCTTTCTCATTCTAGCATTCTGCCCAAATTGCTAGCCAATTTGTTCCTGTCTGCTGTGTCGGTGAAAAAGAGCAGTCGGGAGTGTATACTATGCAAACAAATCTTCATGGAACTTTTGGCCTCTGACGTCGAGGGTGAGAATCAAATTGGTGAAATGTTAACAAACAAAGTGGATGTGAAACAAGGAATAAACAGTCTCCCTTTCTACTATGTTCAGGTTAGTACAGGTGTTAATATTACAAATCCAATAGACAAAGATAATTAATTCTAGTGATTTTATAGCTAAAAATTTATAAAAATTATTAAACAGTTTTAATCTCAGTATATAAGTTGGTTTTATTTAAAATGATTAGTTTTCATTTTTTTCAAATGATAAATGCACCACTAATATTCTGAAAGTAAATGATTTCCATGGTAATTGTCCTTATAAGCTTTTGTCTTTGGTACCTTTGCAAATTTAAGCCCAGTACTAGATTGGCAGCTAGGTCCCATCATTTTTACATTTGAAACTGATAGGTGTAGACGTAAATTCTAAGCTAACAGTTTCTTCTCTAGCACTTCTTGCTTGTGGAACTCTCTTTCGGCTTCTTACTTTCCAGTCAACGTTGATCTTCAAAAATTTAAATGTAACGTCAGTCATCATCTTCTGTCTCCTTGAACCCTGTATTTTTATTGTCCTATCTCCTTAAAAATGTTTTTTCTCAGATTCTTTCACTTGCTTCTTAGTGGCTTTATCACCTTGCTTGGAGTGAAAATGATTAAAAAAAATATGAATGCAAGTATCAGAATTTATTATCAGCAATTATCATTATTATAAAGAAAACAATCTCTTAAAAGATCATATTTGTGTACCGAGGTCTGATGAATTGTGATCAAATTTTTTGATCTTAATGAAATAAATATCACCATGGTCTTTAAGAGTTTGTTTTCTCTATAATAATAATTATTATTGCTTTGTTTTTGACGTAGAGCTCTCCCTTGATCTATATCCTTTTGCAAATATTCATACAGATTACTAAATATTATCATTATATATATATATATATATATATATATATATATGCGTGTGTGTAAAACAGTCAGTCGTTCACTTTTGAACCGACTGCTCGGTTGAACTCTCTTCCTACGGACAGGAGGAACCCGAAGGAGGCTACGCCAAAGGGTGGAGTCTCCTTCGGGGAGGTAAAACCGGCCCTGAACCTGTTTATACGGGTTCAATGGGCATACTTGGAATGCCCACGTTAAAAAGGCCTTGTGCCACATGACACCCTCGTTGGGGTGGGGGTGACTCAGTATCGTGTGTGTAAAACAGTGTGAACATAGAAATATGTCTCTCTTCTTCTATAAACTACATCCAACAGCCAGGCCACTGATCAGGAGGTTTTGAAGAGCGTGGAACCACTTCTTGGTTGCTGGTGTTCCCAAGTCCACCCTGACCTGGGGTGGTAGCACCTGTTAGGGTTCCAGCTATGGGTAAATAGTTAACCCCCCCCACCAAACTCGGGTAAAAAACACTATGAAAGTGTAAAAATAGGTTTTAATACCAGAAGTACTTTTAAAAAAAATATTATTACTAGCAATACATTTTTGGAAAAAAAAATATTACCAGCAATAAAAATCTTGTCAGCATTATATAACCCATTAAGGTTGATATGCCGTAAAACAAACCAAACCAATCTTCTATGAGCCATGTCCCTTCAGGACGTTGGCCATCATGGCTCTCCACAACTTCTGCTCTTTGTAGCTCTAAGTAAGGCTTGTCTTTTTACAATCTTTTCTAATCCATGTTCTGCCAACCATTTACAAAAACTCATTAGGTAAGTGATTCTCTGCTTTCTTCTTGTCCGAGAGATGGTCTTGCTAGGACATAAATTGACACCCACCATGTATAACATGACTTGGACATGCTCATTAGTATCTCAATTCCCTCTCAATTTCTTGCAAAAATAATTTTTACTTTCTTGATAATCTCAACTTAAACTAACATTTCTACTTTCTTTAAGTAAATCCTGAAAAGTTAGAATCAGATTTAGGTAAGGAAGGAAAACCCCGATCAGTACTGGAAAGAGTGATAACAGCTACTGGACTTGAGAAACCTGTTTTTCTTAGAAATTGTTTTAAGAGAAAGATTTTACATATTTCAACTAAAAAACAGTACTGGCTGCCCAGTCAATTCTATGCCAAAAATTTCCTAATATTACCATTACCATAGTAACAGTTTCCAAAAACAAATCCATACTAATTATTGAACTTTTAAATTTTATCTAAACTCTTTCAAATCTTAAAATTATTTCTTATTCTTTGTTATTTCAGGGTCGAAAGATAGGCTGTCTTGTGAAGATGGTGTCTGAAGCAGTAAGGTAATTTTTGTATGATTTTATTCTATTGTACAGAACACTAAAAGCTTACAAGGTAGATAGAGTTCATTTATCTCTTATTTGTCTAAATAAGCACTTTTCACATTTTATATTATTACAGGTTATGCCTCTCTAACGTTTCTTTCTGTACATGGTTTGTTTTTGATTTTGTCAACTGCACAATATAATATTGACCCATTGGGCACTGTCTGTGAGCAAAAGAGCACCATGATGCAATTCACTATGCCAGAAATTTTGAAACAGTATGCTGTACTGATTGGCATTTGTGCCAGAAGCTTCAATACGAATATTTCACTGTTTAGGTGTCAGTCTAAGGACACTGCAGAAGATTCAGAAAGAGTTGGATGAGTCTAATGGTGATTACAAAGCTACGGGAGATTGGAAAACTCACACTGATTGTTCTGATAAGAAAAGAAACCCCAAATTTGTTAATGAGGGCCTCTGACCCAATACTGAGGCTTACAACAAGTTCCTTGAGGAGGTAGTGCTGCTTTGGATCAACAGGGTGTGGCTACTGTAAAAGCCCTACGTCTGACAACAGGACTCTGCACCATGCCACACAAGCTGGAGAACCCTGTCATGGCTGTCACAGTTTCTGCGACTTTATATTTGACCACCTAACTTCCCTGACTGAAACCCCCTAGATTATTATGTGTGGGCACAGTTGAGCAAGACACCAACAAAACTCCTTGTAACACCAAAGATGAACTGAAGGCAAGGATTATGACAGCATTCACCAACTTAAACAAGGAGACTGTCCAGAAGAGTTGCAGGAGATTCCAAAGTCGTCTGGAGCCCGTGGTTGAGGCCAATGGTGATTTTATTGAATAAATTTACTCTTTAGTATTTCAAAATATTTTTGTGTAATTTTAGTAAATATATCTATTAAAATGAGTGTCATTTTCATTTTTGTGTAATTTAGACAATTTATCCATTGCACCATGTGTGTATGTGTGTGTATATATATATATATATATATATATATATATATATATATATATATATATATACACATACACTGATGTTATCTTCAGCATCCCGTCTCCAAAGTTTTGTAGGCAGGCCTGTTCGTCCACTCTTCTGGGGGTATCAGCAATTTACTGCTTATATATTTCCAATTTTTTCTTTTTATACACATTTGATACCAGTGTAAATTTTCTTCTGTATTCTCTCTGTTTGTGTGTGTGCTTGTCTGCATGCTTACATGCGACCAGATGTATGGCATGGTTATTTGCGATATTCACCTTTTTTTTTTTCTTTCTTTTTTTCTTTTTTTTATCAGTAGTAGAGTTAGTCTGGTTCTGTTTCCACTTCAAGCATATGACCTATGTTTTATTTATTTATTTTTATTTATAAGCATTTTAGTTTTTTTGTTAGGGAAGTTGTATTTTATTTATTTACACTTTTATAAATTAATGATATTAATGCTTAGGCAATAAATATTTTTTATAAACATATATGATAACAATGATGTTAATGGTAAATACATATTCATGTTTATACATACAGACACACACATACCCATGTGCACAAATGCATACATATACACATTTATATATGTTCACTGGGCTGTTATTACATTTTTTTAATTGGGTTTGGTGATATCATAAGTATTTATTATAGGATTTTACAGTTATAATTAAATTTATTTTTGTTATAATTTGTGCATATCTGTATTTATACACTTGTGCATTTGCACAAATATTTATATATATATATATATATATATATATATATATATAGATATGTGCACACAGACATGCGTACACAGGTACATGTACACTTAAGTCTGTGCTTTGTTAGTAATAAACTAGTGCATAAATGGTGAAGTTATATAATTTTTTTTAATTATACATATACACATACCTAATTTACACTCCCACACACCTACTCACACACTGCACCACATGCAGTGCATGTATATATAATTGTTAAATAGTGTATGTAATTAAAATCAATGTATCTCTATCTATAAAAGGCAGGATGTGTGTGAGTGTGTAACGAATGCACGGCCACAATTTTCGACGGATTTGCACCAAAATTTACATGCACATGCTCCAAGTTAGCGGGAAGGACAAGACCGACTTTGCATTTCCCAACTCCCATCGATAGTGGAAATAATCGATTTTTTTCATGCTTCTACGGCAGTTTTCATGTAGTTTGTGGCCATTTTGTACTGGCCAGGGTGAGAGCCTATAGCTGGCTGCCACGAATAGGCAGGAAGATTCTATTGGCCAGCATGAGAGCCAACAGCTGACTGACACAAATATTAACTAGCATGCAAAAAAAATTGATAGCTGCATTCATTACAAGTGGGGAAAAATTTAAATCTGCATGGCACTTTACCCCAATTGGCTCATTCGCTTGCTTAAACTCAACATTGATTCTGATTCCGCAGAACTGGGTTGGGTGTGAAAAAGTATTTGTTGTTAACATTCTTTTTTCATTCGGTTTTTCCAGTTATGAGTCCTTTTTTAAAGCTGAGCATTTTGTGTTCATTTTGTTTAGTTCTTTTTTCATAACAGATTTAATGTTTAGTATAGAGATTAGAAAAAATTTGCAGTGTGAGATAGACAAGAAGTAAGGCATGTAGCAACATCAGCACGGCAAAGGGCGCTCCTTTAAAGGCAAGGAAGGGCAAAAATATTTTAAGTCAAGTGATAGCGATTGATATATGAGTCGTACGATTTTTTAATCAAGCACAGGCAACACCGGGCCATGCTGCTAGTGCATATATAATACGTTATTGTTTATTTAATGTTTCATTTTTATTTTTATTTAATGTTTAGTAGTTTATTTGTTTTTGTCTGGGTGCTATATATTGAGGTATTAATTATGGTAGGTTAAGTTCATTTCTTCATTTTGAATGTCTATATGCACCCACATTCACATAGGTGTGTACTTTAATATTTGTTCATTTATTAATAAGTTAAGTTTATATTTGTTTCTTTTATTTGATTTTTTAAAGTTTGTATTGTGTGTATATATATATATATATATATATATATATATATATATATATATATATAAGGTTTATAGTTATTTTATTTATATTTATTTGTTTATTATTTATTTTTAATTAGTGCTTAGATGGCAAAAAAGACAAGTCTATTTCACTGTACAACACTTACATAACAATTTCTTAATCAAATATAAATTTGTATTGCATTTTGATTCTTTCCTTTCAGGTGGTTATCAACCAGTGAAGCAGATTTTGATGTTCAACGCAAGAGTTTTTCATTTATTGTCGCTGTAGTCACTCTGCACTCACAAGTTATAAAAAGAGGTGAGACTTTATTTGGTTTAAATTTTGGTTAAAAATATTTCACAACGACAGTTTCCTTGTCTGAAAATTGAACAGGTTATTTTCATTCCAATTTTGCCTTTTTTATGTTTGTCACATACATCTGCTGTTTTTTTATATATTTTGTCAAGAATGACTTCAGGTTTCAGATCAGAATTGCCAAATTGGGCTACTTTTGAAAACCCTCTACTAAATATTGAATTCTGTTATATGTGACTTTTTGAGTTATCTTTTAGAATAAATTAGACTAACTCAGAGAAGGAAAGCCAATTCAAATTTAAAATTTAGTAGTGCTGAGCTTTCAAATATAATTCATTACTGATCTAGTAACTCTACTTCAGAAATGCTTACAGAAAAGGTTGAATTTTTCCAGTTTGAATCCAGTTATGTCATCACTAGCCTTATAAAGACTACTCACACTGTTATGTCACCTCCTGCCACTTCTGTTTGGCTAAGTACCAAAATGTAAAAATTGTCAACAATTCAGTGAAATAAGAGAAGCTTGATTTAAAGTAGTCAAGTCAGTTATTGTTGGTAACACATTTTGAAAGACTAGATCATCTGAGCTCTAAATAATCAAACTTGATTTTTTTTAAAAGTTCAAATTTTTTAGATTTAAGGCCATGAAAATTTGCTTCATTTTTTTTTTTTTTTTTTACTCTAATTTGGGTTAGCCTATTTACTATTTCTTCTGCAACCCCAGGTATTTGGCATCCCTGAAGCATCCATCAGTCTCTCAAGACTATGGATCTTCACCTTGAAAGTCTCACTCTGTAGGTCACATGTCTGGGCAAAGTTGTATAGAAGTTACCCATGCAGCAAGTTTCTATTCTCCATATCACCAATATTGTCCAAGAAAAAAGTTGATACAGTTTGGCACCAATGTTGTTGCAGGGTTTGCCAGAATAACATCAAAGACAGTGTCAGACTGCCTTAGGAACCTCAGCTCCAGATTTGTCCCAGGAGTTTATTCCTGGCATCTTTCATATGAATGGGTACTTCTACAAAACTGGTTTGGAATTCAGAGTTGTCTATCCAGCCAACATCGATCTTCAAAAGATTTAAATTCAATATCAATCATTATCTACTGCCTTCTTGATTACTCTTCTATTGTTCACTCTACTTATTAATGTTTCTCTTTTCTTATTTTTTTTTCACACCCAATAACCCCTTATGTCTTAGTGGCTTTACTGCCTTACATGGGGTGAAATAAAAAAAAAATGTGTTTAGTTAATTATTTGCAGTGTTTATCCAATTTGGGAATAGCAAAAATTAACTTTAAAACTTTGTCCTTATTAAATTGGAATACTTACTGAATTCTGTCCTTTGTGATCAGTACTAGACTGATCAAGAAAAAGAAGGGACTTTTGAAATATCTCTGTGGTATAGAACTTTTTTTTGTACAAATACCAAGCCATAATTTTTGTTTCACATAACAGATGACATTGGTGAAGTGAATAAATTTATTCCAAACTGGTTAATGGAGGCCAGTCGGCATCAAGCCTCAAATCCTGCTACACTAAATCCCTTCAAGAAAGAAAAGACACTAGTCACAGAGATTGATGGCACCCCCAGCAGGAATTTCTTTACTATTCTTAATGTTGGTAAGTACTTTTACTCATTATTTACATTGAAGGGTTTCACATAATAATACCAAGTTTGTTTTTTTTTTATAAATGCATCTTGAAAACATATTTTTATATCCTTATGAAACTTGCATTGACTGCTATTGACTCTTTCAAGATGTACTTTAGAAAACTTATATTACCTGCTGTTGATATATATATATATATATATATATATATATATATATATATATATATACACACACACACAGAGTTGCAAGACACCACAAACTACAAGTTTCTAGCATTTGTGTTATAAATTAACTAGTGCTACTCCCAAACCAGCATAGACATTTCACAGTATACAATATGACCTGTTCTGTGACATATTTTTATTATATTGTAAATTGAGGGTGTCATTAAGCTAATCAAAACCAAAATGGTGGCATGTATGGCCCTGTTTTTTTTTGTTGAGGCAGGACTGGTATTAATCTCACACAAAGCAAGGTGGGTCCTGCTTAACAAAGGATTTGTCATAATGATTTGAGACAAGGTTTTACAAGGCCAGATGCTCTTCCTGACACCCAGTTCAGACATTCATGGTAGTCCAAATAGACCATGTGATTTTATCAAGACATCTCTAGGAAGGTTGTCATTCATTTTTATATATATATATATATATATATATATATATAATGACCTGACTATAAGAAATTGTTCAACTTCAAGATAAGACAGCTTGTGTCCACTTTCTGGTCATTTATTTTCAGTAAATAGCAATTTCCTATTTTTTACAAAATGGTCCAGCACAGCCAGGCAACAATGCTGTAACAATGCAGCAGTGAAAATATATTAATTTGGTGTCAGTTTAATTATAAGACATTCTTTACTCAAATGATACCTATGTTAAATGTAAACAATATTACATGACTGGTAAGGATTAAATATGTACAACAAAGGTACAGTCTTGTTTTAGCAATTCTTATATCCTTCATTGCATCATTACCCATATTGAAGATGTGATTAAAAATGTCTACATGTTTTTGAGTCACAAAAGGAGAGTTTTGTTGGCTATATACTTTTTTGCTAAATGTTCTACTTTCTTGTGCTTCCTGCTGTTCACCTTTTCATTGGCTGAAATTTATTCCAATATATACATTTCTCTCTTGTTTATTGCAATATCAAGATTTCAATCAGCTAAGTGCCATATGTGATACATGCTTGGGCAATCATGTCTCTTTTGATTCATGACTGACTAGGCAGATTTTCCTGCATTAGGTTGCCCTTTTATTCTGCAATAGACTAGTTGCTAACCAAGACTACAGGATCCAGTCTATCCTGCTATTTAATCCATATCTGAGGGGAGAATAGATGGATTCATACGTTTTCCAAGGGTGTCTGTGTAAGTAAATGTAACAAACTCGACTGGAATTTGAACTTGGTTCTCTGATTTCTCATTCTGAGCCAATATCCATTATACCGCAACAAACATCCAACTCTGAAATCTCAAACACATTATATTTTCTTTATATACACTGCTTCTCACATTATTAACCACTTCATGTTTTATTGATATAAAATATTTATTGGAACATTAAAGTTTATGATGGCAACATCTGTGAAAAACTTTATTGAAGATCCTGGACAACTTCAATACAGGCCTGTTGTGTGCAAATTGAGAACTTTATCTCACTAATCTGTGTCTCATATCAAGAGAAAAGTTATTCTAACACTATAGCTAAAAGAAAATCTTATGCTTCTGGTTGCTAAATGAAGCATTATATACTGTCTTTCTGTGGTAGCCTAATTGTCAAGAATTCTTGGTTACAGCACCAGATGGGCTTATGGCCATATCACGTTGAAACCCCAGTTCTTGTGCAATTACCAAAGTAATGCAACATCGAGTCTGTTCAGTACCTAGATGGGTGACCACATGGGAGTAAGCTTGAATGTGTGGGTGGTGTAATGGATAACGGCTCGGAATTAGAAATCAGAGAGCTGAGTTCCAATTTTAGATGTGTTCGTTATATTCACTTGCATGCAAATACCTTTGAGAAAGGTATGAATTTACCCCTTCTTCCCTAGCTATGGGTTAATTAGTATGACTTGTTTCAGTAAATCATTATTATCTACAAAAAAAAGATGTAGTACTATAGCCAGTGTTGAGCTGTTATTCTGGTCACTAGTCATACTGGACAGATGCCTCTACTTATGCCCACCGGTTGAAACATTACACTCTATACACATAAAACTGAAGTTGAACAATTTCTGAGATGGCTCAAAGTTTTGGAATAATGATAAAGAAGACCAAAATACATATAAATGTAGCTTATTTTAGCTGTTGTCTACATTAACGTTTCAAACTAATAATTTTGTTTCCTCAATGCTTGACGGTAGTACACAATAGTCTGAACTCCAAATTACAATAAGTCAATCATATCAAATTATCAATATGTTTACAACTGTGTTACTGATAGAACAGCAGTCATATATCTCTGTTTACTTGTTCTCCTTCTTCTCAAAATTTGAATTGGTAATCTGCTTGTTTACATCTGCTGCTATGATCTACTTTTCCCATGCCTCTGCAGAACTCTTGTTTCACTCGCATTTCTCTGCTGGCCAATGCAAAATTAACTAAGGTACACTGCCTGCACACTTGTATGTGTTTGTGTGTGTGTGTATATATATATATATATATATATATATATATAGGACTTTGCTGGCTGGCTTATCACTAATGTATATGATTTTACAATTTATGCTCTGCAATGATCTCCTTTATTCCAGGACGTACATGGTCAGCTCACCATTTGACAGTTCTGATAATCTTATTTACATAAACAATCAGTGAATATATTTTTATGTAAACAAGCTATTTGGCCTGTTGTTTAGTTCAACTAAGATTTTAGGAAATACCTTTCTCTGAAATTATTCTGCCTAAGGAACCACACCAATCAGAGGGATATGTCTTTATGTAAACAACTTAATCTCAAGAGTTTTTAGAGATAATTTTTTTATTTGGGCTGAGGAAGTAATTTAGTACTTGTCATTATTTTTGCCTAACTTGGCAAATCTAACAGGTAGGTACAAGGCCATATCTAGTTATACTAAGTTATATCCAAGTAAATATTCAGGTTCACTTCTTTTAGAACTTCTCAATCTACCAAATTTCTCAAAGTTAATGTGTTAATTAGTTTCTCCACGTTAAATTCCAGTTATCATTAAATGCAATCATGCCTTTTTTTTTCACCCATGAATGCCATGTTACTTTTAATGTGAAAAGCATAGCCTGGATGACTGACAGAAACCACCCTCACAGAATGTGACATCAACAAGGCAAAAATGATGTGATGTTTTGAGAGTGAAATTATACATGTGAAGTTATAGGCCTATAGCAAGTTTCAGATGGTGTTAAGATGCCAAATTATACATACATTGAGATCTTTATGACACATGTGGAGTCATAGTTCAAGAAGAGGACAAACACTTTCAGAAAGATAATTTTTTTGCATTGCAATAGTCAACAATATTTGGTGATTAAAAATGATATCTGAATAAAGTGGATGTCAAACATTCTTGCTTGAAGTGACCAACTTATTTTTGTGACCATAACCCAATTGAAAAGCATTCTGCTGTGAAAGGTTTATATTAACAGACAGCAATTAACCAGCAAGAATGAACTTTGGAATGCTATGCAGTCTGTTTTATAGAAAGAAATATAATGGCTAACAAAATCAATAAATGAATGACTTCTGAAACTACTTTCAGAACATGGAATATATATTTTAAATTAATGTTTTTATAATTTTGTTGTCATTACAATTTTTGTTTGTTCAAAACATTTGTCTTTGTAAATTTTTTGCATGTTCTGTAATTATAATTTTTAATTACAACTTAATATTTCTTGCAGTTTCAAATAAACTTTGCCAATACTGTAAAATCAAGTGAAAATTCATAAAACTGTTGCCCCATTCTAAGAATGACATAATCCAAAAAAGGGTTTTAATGTAGTCAATCCTGACCAAGCTTGTCGACTTCAGTCACTTTCTCACTGATGTGACGTGGCTTCCTCCTTTTTTTTTTCTACAAATATTTGCTTTTCTACAAATAATTGCTCTAAAGAGGTTTTTTATGTTTTTTTCCCTAGTGTCATGACTATGTAAATTTAAGCGTGCTACTAGATTGGCAATTAGGTTTCACTGTTTTACTGGTGAACAAGCTAGATGCAACTGCCACTTCTACTCTAACATTTTCTTTTCTCACACTTCCCGCTTGCAGAACTCCTTTCTGATTTTTTGTTTCCATGATAACTAAAATATTCAAAACTTGAAATGCAATGTCAATTGCCATCGTTTCTGTTTTTATACTTTTCTAAATTCTCTCCATTTTCTGTTTTCTCATTCTCTTTCACTTTCACTCCATATAACCTCCCACCCCCCACCGGCGTTCTAGTGGTATTATCACCTTGGTTGGGGTGAAATGATTACAATATAGATTTCCACAAATCCCATCAATGGTTTTCTACAAATTAGGAAAAACTGAGATTGCTTGAGGCATGAAACTGATAGTCATCATATAATGTTTTCTATGTCCACACAGTCTATATCTACAAATACTCTCTCTCTCCCTTATTGAACATGCTTCTCCCATAAATATAACAAATTTTAACATATATAATACAGAATGTGGCAGAAATACCTCTCACATAATGGTAAGATATTAGTGGCAATGGTGTCTTCATCCAGCTTATGTCTTACCATTATATTTTGGGGTTTTGTTTTTTTCACCCCCACGCCAGACAATAATGCCACAGGGCACAAGGGATTACTTGGGGTGAAAGAGAAAACTTTAGTCAGGAGAAAGGACAATAAAAGAACAGGATTCAGGAAGAGAGAAGATGGCAATTGGCATTGCATTAAATTTTTGAAGATTGTAGATGAGAGGGAAGTAAGAAATCAGAAGGGAGTTCCACAAGTGAGAAATGAGAAAAGAAAGTATTATTAGAATAAAATATGTTTGCATCTAGCTAGTTCAACAGTAAAATAGTGAGACCTAATTGCCAATCTAGTATTACGCTTAATCTGAGATTGGTCTTTCATAATCAAAAAGCTTAAATTTTTTCTAGTATCTTTATTTCCTTGTTAATTCAGTTTGAGGTTTATAGTCTTCTGGCTTTTAGTTTTATAGGTCATTGATATGTGGGAGGTATTTTTTTTTCTCTCTCTCTCACACACTACACTGAATGTGATATGTCTCTTGTAATTTTTAGGAATCCTTTAATAAGCTTATCTTTTGATCATTATTTATATAATTTTGATAGAAGAGATACCTTTTTTGTCATATTTATGGAATAAATTAACAGATATATTTTTTTTTAAATTAACAGATATATTTTTTGGATTTAAGTAACTGAAAAAAAAATGTATAAAACCAACTGTTTTTGCTTTCTGTACATTTATTGATATATTGCAATAGTTTTTATTATTTTGGTTTTCTTTCATTATGTAAGTCGTTTAAATTCATGAGTGTATTTATAATTATCCATAAATAAATTACTCATTAGAAATATAAGATTTATTTCTGCATGGTATTTCTTTCATTTTATTTCACTTGTTTTTTTATTGCATCTCCCGTCCATAAGAAGTAGAAGTAGAGAATATAGCTATATGGCTAAATTTGAATGACTCCTGCTGGTTAGCCTTCTAAGATGAAGCATTAGCAATTGTTATTCATTTTTCAGTAGTATTTCTTTCATCTTCATTTCTCTTGCTTTTTATTGCCTCTCCCATCCATAAGAAATAGAAGTAGAGTATATAGCTATATGGTTAAATTTAAATAACTCTTGCTGGTTAGCCTTTTTAGATAGAACATTGTCAACTAGTATTAATTTCCACAATTATTTTTTATTTTAACTCTCAGATCATCATGTCTATGCGGCAAACAATATAATTAAAAAAATAAATCACTTCAGCAAGATTTGAACTCTCGTCCCTCATCTTTGATTGCCTGACTAACAATTTACTGCAAGCTAACTTAACTGTTGTAGCCTAATCAGTAAAGTACAGTTGCTGCTAGTCAGTCTCCCAAGAGATGCAATATCAAATCTTGCTGGAGGATTATTTATATTTGATCTATGCTGTTATCATAAAAGTAACAAAAATAGCATAAAATAAATACTAGTCAAAAATTAATAACAATTGAGAATGCTTCTTTTAAAATTGGAACACTATTAAATGCAGGGTTTATTTGAAAACTTTGGCTTTGTTAGTATGTAAGTAATGAAAATTCTCTTGTTTATTTTTTTTATTTATTTTTTTACAGCCCAGTATAATACTGACGACCAGTTTCTGAATATCTTTACATTTTCCATGTTATATCAGTGGCTTGACCATACAATAAAAGTAGTTCCTACGACAGCTGATGATCTACAATCCCTCACATCATCTCAGGGGACATCATCTGTGTCTTTAAGCCCCTCACTCCCTAAAGAATTTGCTATGCTCACTTCTAGAGTCATAGACTACTGCTTCCGTGTGTTCGACCAGTGTGAAAGAAGTAAGTATTAAATGTCAGTATTTGAAAAATGTAACTCTTTATAAATGAATTTTATTTTTTAAACATTCTCCTATCATCATCAAATATAACTCTCATCCAATAACCTTTTGGAAACTTCAAACAGGATCCCTTATTTTAATTGACAATATTATGATCTTCAGATTTGATAGATAGATGGGAATGAATTGTAATAAAGTTTTTTATTCAGTCTAAAGTTGGTTGATTTTTTCAGCAGTGGTCTGTTCAAGGTTAACAGGTTAAGTGAGAATCAGAAGAAATATTCACATTGAGGACAACCAGCTACAAGTTTGTTTTTTTTTTTTTATGTTGGACTATTACTGCTACAACTTTCAAATAAAATGCACAAAAATACATTTTTAAAGAAACATTACAAAGTATATACTTTTCATTTTGTATTTTAAAACAAATGTAATTATAAATTCAAATAATAGATAAAATATAAGTTTTGTAATATACTGCACAAATGCAATCAAACATTTTCCTTTTTATAATTCACAGTAGAGAATAAAAATTCCTTTCCTTTAGAGTTGATTAAAAGAATGAAATATTTGTTGTAAAGAGATTAAAATTTTATTTCAAGAGTTCACTGAAAAGAAAGATAAATTTCAATAAAGATACCACTTTAGATGGTAGTCATAAAATTCAGATGTATATGATATCAAATATTGGAGAGAACACGGACATCTTCAATAGTTAAATGTTTTCCACCACCGAGTGTCTAGACTGTCTTACAGCCTACTAAAATAGCTGAAATATTTGTAATTCTTTTATTTATTTTCAACTTGGAAGTTATGCATAATCCATCTGTACAGACAAACAATTTTGCTCACTTGTATCCCAGCCATAGGAGTGCCAACTTCCACTTTCACATCCTGTTTACTACAAGTCTATTTGAATAAAAGAATAGAAATAAGTTTTCAACGTCTTCAATTGATTGCATATGAGGTACAAATAAATCTTAGTAAAAAAAAAGAGACAATAATACTGATCTGAGTTAAAAACAGTACCAGTTTTATCTTCTGAAGATAATTTAATCAATGTGTTTTATCTGTAACTATATTTTTGAAGTGAAAAATTCAATATTTCATGCTTATAAATCCATTATTTTAATCAGCACATTCCTGTCTTTCATAACAGCTTCAGTCACTTTCCCACTGCCATAATGTAACTTCACTGTTTCTTTCTTTTAAATACTTTCATGGTAATTGTTCTGATGAACTCTCCTCTGTGGTACGTAGACTTTATGAATTTAAATGCAGTATTAGATTGGTGGCAAGATCTTATCATTTTACAATTAAAATGGCTAGATGTAACTAATGTTCTATGATAAGTTTCCACAATCACACTTCTTGCTTGTGGAAATTTCTTTCAGTTTCTTGCTTCCCAGTCAACTTTGATCTTCAAATATTCTTCTATTGTTCTCTCACTTTGATAGTATTTTTCTCATATTCTCTAACACTCAGTAACCCCCTGGTGTCTTAGGGACTTTATTACCTTGCTTGGGATGAAATAATATATATATATATATATATATATATATAAAAACAATGACTTGATACTACAAAAATTTTAAAGATATCAACTGACCACATGTTCTGACATTTCTGGTACACACTGCATTCCTCAATGGACTGGATTCTGTTCCACAAACTCCTCAGCCAAATATGAGTCTGGCAGAATGTGCACATGGAGTTCAGCCAGACGATCAGTGAAGTTACATTGTCGGCCAAACTCACTTCTTTTCTTTGTGTATACATAAACTTCATGTTGGCAGCAAATGTTGGAAGGCAAGGCTTGGAAAGAAGAATTTACATATAAACATATTTTAACATGCCTCATACAGCAAATATGTCAAATTTACAATTATGAAAAAATTGTTTCAGTCCATACAAGTAAACTGGAATCAAAATCTGAACTTACTTTAAAAAATGCAAACAAGATTAATCATTTGTTCATGCATTTATATCATATTTGATGCCAAAGAAGTTATGCTTTTTAAAAAAAATAAACTCCTATAAAAATCATCAAGACTCGAACAACTATCTTTAACACATAGGTCCCTTGCTATTCCCAGACTAATATATATATATATATATATTTAAATTTAAATACAATTTCAGTCATTATTTTCTGTCTCCTTAATTCTTGGCCTTTTATTGTTCTCAGTTCTTAATAGTGTTTCTCTAATACTCAGTAAACCCTTATATCTTAGTGGCTTTATTGCCTTACTTAGGATGAAATGATTAAAAAATATTATAAAAGGAAATGTGAATTTAACTTACAAAAGCAGATCATTCATTTTTAGATCTGATAAATTGTCAGCATTGGGACTTGCATGTGTGGGTATGTTGTGTTATATTAGTTCATTAAATATGTTGAATCATGTCCCTTAGAAGAAAACAATCTTAATTTGGTAATAAAGAGTCCTGAGGGAAACCATCTTGATTTCTATGGCACCAACAAATGTGTTCAATTCAGCCTATAGCTAATAACAGCAGGTCCTGTGCAAGAGTCTTATTTCTCACAATTTTTTTGATACCCCCCATTCATTCTACATCATCTCAATTTTCATAAGGTAGTATTCATATGAAATATAAATTTTATTTCAATCTAATTATGTACAATAATGGATCATATGCAATATAGGTAAACAATTCGGTAAGTAACCAGTCTAAGAGAAGAAAACTCTGAATTCCAAATCATTGAGAAAGCAACAAGAAATCACTCACCTATCTTTCCCAAGAATAAATAATTCATGATTGCCTTCATCCTAAATGGGTATGGCATTAAAAAATGGCATTTACTGTACTTAATCTGACAATATTTTGCTTTATTATTATTGTATTTTAGATTTTCAAAATATTTATGTGACACAACAGATTTGGTAGCACAACCCCTGGCAAAATTTATGGAGTTCATAAACTTAGAGAATTTTTACTTAGGGTTTTTTTTATTTAGCAGTAAATAAACTAATAACAGATAAAACAAAACATTTTTTTATTTAATAGCTAAACATTTTGGATTTATAAAATATATGTTCCACCAGTGGATTCCAAATGATGCAGTGTGCCTCATAGATGCAACAGGAGAAGATAGCATTGCATGTATGTGTCCCAGTATAAATAGTTATAAATAATTATTGACTGATTTTATCATTGTAATATTTTTGCATTATATCAAGTATTATAATATAGTAACTAGGCTCTTCAAATTGAAGGAGAGAGTTATCAATGCTAATGTTCTGACTTCAAATCTGCAGTTATGTCCCTTTAACCATCTTTCTGCTTTTTAATTTTAAATGTACTTTTTATCTCACAAATATTTGGTTAGGTGTAAACAAATTTTCATTCTGAAAAATATCCCAGAGAAAAAAAAAAGTTTGGGAACCACTACCTTAAACAAACTTGATTAAATTATGTAAATTAATGGTATAATTTTTTTCTAAGCCATGTAGAGAAAAATATTTTATAGAAAAACCCAATACTGAGGAAAATATTATGAAATTCATTAACAACTGATGTAATGTAATAACCTGTCACCCCCATAAGTGATTACACTATAGGTAGTAACTACCTATAAGTATCTGTAAGTCAACGGACTACAGAGACTAGCTGGGATCTGTTGAGTACAACTCAGACTTACATAAGAACTACCGACCTTCCAATAATAGTACTTACTACTGGATTGACTTACAATGACTTTGTGCATAACAGTTATCTTTATTCTTATTGTTTGTTTTTTTTTTTTTTAAATAAACCTTTACTTATTTTATCCACCTTGTTTTTAAAGTATATATTCCTATTAACATGGAATATAGCAACAACAAAATTAATACTTAGTTACTTCTCTGTAGCAAACTGTCACAAATTCACAGAGCCATAAGTTCAAATAGTTACACATCCACTCATTCACCTTGTCAGCTTCGATCCCTCCTTTTCACTGCCACTGACTTTATGTAATTTTGAGGGTCAGTACACTAATCTGTAACCAGCACATCTAGGTTTTTCTGTCAACCATGTAGCTAACACATTTAGGCTATTCCATCAACCATTATATGTTATAAATGACAGAATGAGTCTACCCTGATTTTTCTTTATATCATGGAGCCAATGTCATCAGCAGATGCATGCCCTCAGACTTTTTGAAGGTAAGGGGATTTCTTCTCCACATTCTCCTTGTGCTTGAGCATGGATTACACTCATCTAAAGCAATATTCTTTATCAAAGTCATTCCAACTTTCCTAAATGGCAGTTAATAGATCTTCTTCAGTGAATTGAGCTATTAATTAAAAAATGTTTTATGCCTTATCTGTTATTAGTTTATTCATTACTAAATAAAAAAAAGACCAAGGTAAACATCCTCTAAGTTTGCTAATTCCATAATTTTTGTCAGGGTTTGTATTTATAATTTCAACAATTTGATTCTCAATTTTCATATCAATTACTTTTGGCTGTTTGCTGTGTAAAATCAGCTTGAACCTTCTACTCATTCTTCTTCATTGCCAGTTGTCATTTTTTTTTAAGTCTAGGTTTTTCAATTATTAGTTGCAATGATACAAGGCTTTTAATGTTATAGAGGTGTACTAAATTTCCCAGCCCTTTTCTACATTAAGTAGATGGCTATATAAAATGTGCATAAAAGTAGTAAATCAGGTCATAAATATCAATGGCGTCTATCTGTTTCTGGTCTACATTTCAGACTTCTTCAGCTCTTTCCATTAATCTGTATTTTTTATCGTATAATTTCCCCTCCTCTGCACATCTGTGACCTGTGTTATTAGTTAAGTACTGGCAAGCTTGTGTGAATGGTATAAGAATTTGAAAGTAATAGTAAAGGGAGCTAACTCTTTACCATTCAAATCTCAACTTTGAGCTTGAAACTATTACTAATCTGGGACTCTGATTGGCTAACTACTGTCCAATCAGGACTTCTTGGGGCCACATGATAAATTCAAAACTGAAATCTTCTTTTGCAAAGTAAAAGCCATAGTTTATTAGAGCCATCCTTTCCAACATTAATGGAATCCAGAAGCCACAAGGCCACAAATCCCACTTGTTCCTTGGACACTTTTCTAGCTGTTATGTCTGCAAATATAATTTATATTTGCAAGCCTTTTACCTATTTATTCATACACCCATTTGTACATTAAATCTTCACATTTAATAGTGTCATAGAGTTGCTTCTCTTCTTCAAGTGTGTCTATCTTTGCCTTGTGCAATTTAACTGCACCTAAGAAAAGTATTTATAATGGATGTTAGAGCAAATTTTGGAAGAGATGGTGGAAAGACAATATTAGCTGCAAACCACAAGAAGTTGGGGAGAGCCATGATCACTAAAAAGAGGACAAAGCACATAGAAGACTAATGATTATCCAGGTATTCATAGATAAAAAATTGTTTTGAATTGTTTTATTAATTTTTAAATGATGTCTTTTTTTTTCTTTTTGGTTTTCCTTTTCTCATAAAAATATACTATTTTGAGGAAAACAAGTATCTTTTTTTAATAAAAAATTACATTCAATGCACTTTATTTTTATTCCAGAACCCAAGGTGGCAACTGATGTAGATTTTCAAAATGCTGTAAGTATTCACATTCATAACATTAGAAGGAGAATTCTTCTCTTGTAGAACTTTTTACTTTTGCTCTTAAATGCTAAATTCTGCAGATAATTTCTCAAAATAATTTCTCAAAAATAAAAATCTAATTGTTACTGTTTACCTGTTTCAAAAGCTAAACAAAATATTAAGAAACAATCAAATTTTGTTAGAAGCAAAGAAAATAGCGCTGAATTACTATGTAATATCAGTCCCTCTATATGACAGTGAATGCTGGACATTTTTCCTCATGGATGAAGAGGAGGCATCAGATGGGATATGTGATCAATAAGCAGAGGTTTTAAGAAAATGGAAACAAAAAAGACAATTAGAATAAGAAAGAGATGGTTGAAATTTCTAGGATGCATAATAAAGAAAGAGGGTCTGTCTATATTTCTGAGATGAGCTATTACTGTTTACATTATTCAGACTATTGTACTCATCTTTGCTGCCATATTTATTACAACATTTCAGCTTTTGTATGCTCAGGCCTTCTTCAGGTGGTTAGAATGTCGAACTGAACACTTTATTTAGCTCACTGGGGTAGACAGTTCTAGTTTCACAGCCATGTTTAATGGATGTCAGTTATCTCCTGTTAATTCCCCTCTCCAAGTTCTCCACTACCTTAACCTGCTATTGAACTCACACTCTTTGGGTCCTGTCACTGGATCTAACCAACACCTTTATCCACTGGGCCATATGTCCTTGAGGACACATGGTACAGTGGATAAAGACGTGGTTAAATCCAGTGACAGGACCCAAAGAGTGTGAGTTCAATACCCAGTTAAGTGGATAAAGGAGAGGGGAATTAAGAGGAAATAAATGATAACTGACATCCATTAAACATAGCATGTGGAACTAGAACAGTCTACCCCAGTGAGCAAAATAAAGGGTTCAGTTTAACATTCCAACCACCTGAAGAAGGCCGGAGCATTCAACGACCAAAATGTTGTAATAAATATGAGAACAATAGTCCGAATAGTGTAAAGAATGAAGGCTTGGAGAATGTAACACTCATAAGATATATTCGCAGCATGATGGGTAGATGAAAACGGCAAACTAACAAGCTTGTGGAAATAGTTGGCAGAACAGGAACTGTGAGGGATGATAAAGGAGACAAAAATTGTTTTGAGCTACAAATTTGTGGAGAGCCATAATTATCCATGTTCTAAAAGAAGAAATTTATTACTATGTTTTATGGTATATAAAAGTGTTGTGAAGGAGAATTTTTCCCTACAAGTTTGGACTCGGTCATCAGACAAAAGACATAAAAATACTCCTACATCAAGAGGAGTAGCTACTGTAGCTTTTGCTGAAAACAGTCATTCACGCCTAAACATTCTTTGCCCTAGTTTCTATTCTACATTATGTTTCCCTGTACCAAAAGGTAATATATTTGTTGTTAAACCAATTCCAGTTTTATACTGTTGTTTTTGATAACTCAGTTACAACAAAAAGCCAATTTTGTTCTCAAATATTATAATTATTTGTAGTAAATGTAATTAAAGAAAGTTCTGTCTGAATTTCTAGGATCTATAGCTATCATTATTTACATTCAAACCCTGTGCAAATATTCTTGTGAATGGTATGAGTTTATGACGACTATCCTAGCAGCTTTGTATTCAAGTTTGAACCCCTCAGCTGATTGTAGTATTGATCGTTTCAGCCCAAGTCTAGTCTCACCCCACGTTATGATTAATTTATTGCAAGACCGACTTGGTCTGAATGGTCAACTAGAATTGATGACTTGGTTTGGTCCAGTCAGAGTAAAGTCATGCAAAAAAATAAATTGGATAGAAGAAAATATTTATATACAGTTACTTGATACAAAGTTGATGGTACAGTTATTGATAGCTTAAGCAAGACTATAATCTCCATGCAATAACTTTCGACCATTTCCTGATCATCGTGACACACTGTTAGAATTTTTGGAATGAGACTCCTGGAACAAGGTTTTAAGTCAGTTTTTTTTTTTTTTTTTTTTTTTTTTTCCAGGGCGGCAAGTCACATGAGATCAGGCAAAGCAGTGGTCTCTCTGACATAGTCTGTCTGCGGAGTCTCTACTGTCTCTCTCTCTCTCTTTCTCTCTCTCTGCCATAGTGTTCTGTTTTTATGGACTCTTGCGCAAGGAATGGGGTGGGGCATGATGTGCTTTGGGAATACATGCATTCCCCAAATGACCAATCAGAGCTCTCTCTGCAAATGTCTAAATATGGAGGAGACTCCCCTCCCTCCTTGGAATTCTACCTGGGCCTTCTCCTTTTGGTCAGCTGACCAAACCGATCTCCTTCCTACTTTGTGTGAGTGCCTCTCACCATTAGTGCTTAAAGGGCTTAGAAAGTCCTCCACCTTCCCTGAAATTTCCCTTGGGCTTTTTTTCTCCTTGGTTACTTGACCAAACCCATCCCCTAAGGGCTAGGTATGATCTAGCCCAATGGCCAAATTTATCATTCTTATCCCATTGTCAACCCTTTGGTCAACAAGTGGCAAAAAGGAAACAATCTCTTGATTTTGGGAAGTTTTATTGCATTTTGACTGATGAAAAATTTAATTATCATTCTCGTCCCCATTTTCTGCTGGAAACCTGTCTGCTTTTAATTCTTATCAATCAACCAAATTCGCGGCCAGAGGTCTGTTTCTTCAATGGTTGTAAAAATATATATATTATATTAGCTTGTCACATAGTCTCAGTTCTAATTGAAACCAGATGGTCTCTTTGTTTTGCTTCTCTGGCAGATGAGAAATTTAATTGCCTCCTAGATTTTTTTTTTTTTTTTTTTTAAAACGAAAAAAAAAAAAACCAAATATCCTTTTCTTTGATTTGATTTTTTTTTTTTTTTTTTTTTTTATAGGTCTGGTCATCAGTATATCTTTTGTCTATTGGAATTTAGTGTTTGTCATTCTTCTAGTTTTTTCTCTATTAAAAACAAGTATCTTTTTCGTTCATTTTCCTTTGTCTGGTCATTGGTATATCTTCAGTCTATCAGAATTTAGTGTTTTTCAATTTACTAGCACCTTTCCAATGCTGTCACAAGCTTACCTCTTCTCCCTCCAGTAAATCATTGTCTCCCCAAAATTCTTACAATCTAAAAATATTTTCTGGGTTTAAATAACCTGCAAATGGTTGATAAGGCATACAAATACAAATCAAGCAATAATTATAACAAACAGTATCTAAAAATAATTTTAAAATTAATATAATGAAATGAAGTAAATTATTACACTTTTTCAAGTTTTTTTTTTTTTTTTTTTTTTTTTTTTTAAGGAATTTCAAGTTTGTTCATTGTTTTCATTTAACGAATTTCAGGTTGTTTTTTTTTTTTAACGAATTTCAGGTTTGTTGTTTTGGGGGGTTTGTTTGTTTTTTTTTAATGAATTTCAAGTTCTTTTCATGTGCTCTATTCATAATGTAAATTAATTTTTCTTTTTCCTGTTTAGTGCTTGATGGAGACTATAAATATTCTAGATGCCATTTGTAAAGTTGACAAAGAACAAACTCCTCGGGTATTCCAAGAAGTGAAGCGTTTGTTTTCTATGCTCTCTTCTGATACAAACCGCACTCCAAGAGTGATGATCAACCTGCTGCAATTTTTTATCAACCATAGTGAGTTATGTTACCTTACAATTTTTTTTTTTTTTTTTTTCAATTCACGCCAAGCAAGGTAATAATGCCACGAAGATGCAACAGCTTACTGGGAGTGAAAGAGAATGAGAAAACTTTAGAAGAGACCAGAAACTTGATCCTAAACAGGAAATATAGGATTAAAGGGGGTTAATAATATCACATCATGTTGAGCTAATAGGTGAGCTATGCTATCACTTATGATACATTTATTTACACTTGTCTTAATAGTAAGTCTGATTGATTCAGTAAGGTCAAATTGGCATCTGATCTAAAAAATGACCTACATTCTGTTGCTATCTGAGGTAAGAAATGACTTGTTAATTTTAATGCTTCCAAAATGAAGCTGCTCTCTTTTAATCGTTTGAGAGAACTATTTTTACCTTCCATCAGCATTCTTGCTGATGCTAATCACAGGAAAGTGACTTGTTGTGCTTTCTTGAAATAACATTTTTCCATTGACATTAAGTGGAAAGATTATATTGAATCAATTGCTAGGTCTGCTGCCAGGAAATTTGGTTCACTGTGTCACACTAGATAATCTTTATCTTACGCATTTATAAGTTGTTGCATTGAACATTGCCGCCACTTCTGGTCTGGTGCTTTTGCTAGGTATTTAGAGATTCTCAATAAAATACAAAGAAGAATTTGCAATGGCATCTCTGTTTCAGTCACTTTCCCACCGCCATACCATAGCTTCTCTGTGCCTTTTCTAAAAATATTTTCATGGTAATTGTTCTAATGAGCTTTCCTCTTTAGTATATATACTTTATGAATTAGAGTGAAGTGCTAGATTGGCAGCAATGTATCCTCATTTTATTTGAAATGCCTAGACATAACCATAAGTTCTATGCTAGCAGTTTCTTCTCTCACACTTCTCACTTATAGAACTCTCTTCTGGCTTCTTGCTTTCAAGTCAATTTTGATCTTCAAAACTTCATGTCAATCATTATTTTCAGTCACCTTAATTCCTGTTCTTTTATTGTTCTCTCTCTTTAATAATGTTTTATTTTTCTCGTATTCTTTCACACTCAGTAACCCCCTTGCATCTTAGTGCCAATTATTTACTATGACTTAGTTTTGTTACAAAGCCACAAGTATAGGGAACTCTGTGAGAATCAAACTTATTTTAAAACAAATTTGCTAATCATTACACTGTCATGAACACAAAATATATAATAGCATAACTGTCCAGCTTAGTTTAGAGAAGCTATCTTGGTGTAAAGTTGCTGCTAGAGAAAATTCTTGAATATGATTTCATGTTTCCTTTCATATGTTTTACTGGTCATTTTCTCTCCTTGCAGGTGCTACTGTAGTGCATGATCCCCAATATGCTTATACACTGTTCTTCAATCAACTATTGAGCCAAAAATTTAAAGAACATCACATTGCTTTTGACACAGTAATGCTACTGCATGACAACCTAGATACTCTCTGTTATAAGACCAATGTATTATCTAAGTTCTTCCCTAATATTCTCAAGGTAAGCTTTTATTTATTTATTTTTTTAAATTCACCCCAAGCAAGGCAACAATGCCACTAAGACACAAGGGGCTACAAGGAGTGAAAGAATGAAAAGATTTTAGCATTTTGAGGGTTAAATAAAACACAATTTGTAGTCATTCTGCAATCCATTCCCCGCCAACTATGTACACCATCCTTCTAGTAGCTATTTTTTCCTTTTTTTTTTTTTTTTTTTTTTTTTTTTTAATCATATCACTCAATGCAAGGCAGTAAAGTCTCTAAGACACAAGGACTTACTGAGTATGAAAGAATAAGAAAAAAGAAAAACATTATTAAGGAGCAAGAACAATAGAAGAGTAATCAAGAAGACAGTCGATAACAATTGACATTGCATTTAAATTTTTGAAGATCAAAATTGGCTGGAAAGCATGGCACCAGAAGAGAGTTCTACAAAAAAGAAGTGTGAAAAAAGAAACTGTTAGCATTGAGATTACTGTTACATCAAGCTAATTCAACTGAATTGATGGGACCTTACTGCCAATTTAGTACTGTACTTAAATTCATAAAGTATAGGTACTATAAAGAAGGGTTCACCTGAACAGTTACTACGAAAATACTTATAGAAAAAGTACAGGGAAGCTACATTCTGTTGGTGGAGAAGTGATTGGAGCCGGGATGCCAGGTCAGCAACAATAATATTGCTGATTCTTCTTTGGATTTTAGCAAAAGTACTTGTTTGATGTGAACAATCACAGGATGACAGATGGCACCTGTTGCTCATCATTTCCTTTACCGGTGAGGGATCAATGTCATGGAATTGCCACCTATCCTGGCCCCTTTTTTTTTTTTTTTTTTTTTTTTAGGTTTCTAGAGCACAAAGTAAACTTCTTTTCTTTTCTTTTTTTTTTCTTTTCTTTTTTTTCTTTTCTTTTCTTTTCATTTTTTTTTTTTTTTTTTTAATTCACCCCAAGCAAGGCAACAATGCCACTAAGACACAAGGGGCTACAAGGAATGAAAGAGATTGGAAAGATTTTAGCAGGAACCACAAACCCAATTCTAAACAAGGAACAAGAAATAAAGCTCTACTCCTGTTCAAAAGATCAAGAAAGAGTGTGAACTGGGTGATATGTAAACCTATCTATTCTTATTCAGAAGAAAAATAAATAATTAGTAAGTAAAATTTCGGAGTTCAGAGAGAGACATTAGAAGTATAGAATTGAAGTAAACTTTAGAACAGTGATTCTCAACCAATTTGGGGCCATGGCCCACTTTGGTATTTCTAAAATTCTGGTGCCCCCTGTAATATTTAATTCTTGCATTTCAAAATTTTATTTCATGTGACGGAAGCAAACTGAATGCTCACACTGATTGGCCAACAAAACATGGGCTCTTTCATCGACATGCATCATGCTTTCTCCTTTGTTGACTGAGACATACGAGTGTGGGGAGATGGGAAATATCCTGTATGCCAACTATACACAAAATAAATATTTTTATGTATGCATACTGTATATGCATCGTATGTATTAACACACATTAACATTAACACTCTCATTCAGACTCGCTCATTCTCGAATTGCCCCCTTATTCTGTTGGTATAATAAGCCAAAGAGTGCACATCCTATGCATATCCTACCAAAATATTACCATGCCCCATCAGTGAGGCATGTTCCCCATGTTGGGAATCATTGCTTTAGAAGGAACTGGAAACCCAATCGTAAACAGGAAACCAGGAATAAACCTCTACTCCTGTTCAAAAGACCAGTTTGGCTTAGCTCATTATTATATGTAAATACAAAGTTTGGTGTTAAACATCATATTTCCTGCAATCCAACTAATTTTAACTCCATTATTATTCTCTCCAAAGAGATAATTTTATGAGTTGCAAAGAAAAAAAAATCAGAAAGCACATTGGAATAGCAAAAGATGCCTTTCAAAACTAAGCAAAGTATTAAAAAAAAGGAAAATTTTCTTACAAACAAAAAAAAAAAAATGGTAATTAAATGTTATTTAATATCTGTGATATGGCAGTAAATGATGAAGAAGAGACTTAAAGCAATAGAAATGTGGTTCTACAGAAGAATGCTGAGAATGGATTGAATATGTGAGCAACAACAAAGTTTTAGAGAAAATGGAAGCAAAAAAGATACATATACTTGACATCAGAAAGAGATAGCTAAAGTTTCTGGGAATGTAATAAGGAAAGAGGGCTTGGTAAATTTTACACACACATGACTTATTGAAGGCAGGAGGGACAAGAAAATGGTGTATAACTAACCTAGTGAGCTTGTGTAAATGGATGACAGAACAAGGTTTAAGAGAGATAAAATTTATTAAGACCTACAAAGGACAGGAAATTGTTGAGAGCTATGATCACCCATATCTAGAAGGTAACATGGCACATAGAAGAATAATTCTTCTTGTACTTCAAAAAGGTTAGGCTTTTATCTATGTCACTCACTTGCCACTTGTAGCAGTAAACAATAACACGGAGTGTCCAATTCAACATGTGAAGAGTGAGTAATGTGTTTAACAAATAGAAATAACAACATTTAATGGTTAGAATCAGAATTCAGGATATGGAATATTTTATTAAAAATAATTGTATTCTTTTACAGAGATCGATGAGTACATTAGAGTTTTTGTGATTAAGCTCATAATGATGAAAGTTCATGCGAAATGATTTTAGTGACTGAAATCCTGGCAAGATGTGGCACTTAAAAATCATTATTCAGAACATTCATGTTTCATTTGGCAGATACCACAAGTCTAAATAAAGTCTCTTTTTTTATGCACCCTTTTTATAAAGTGGCTCCATGTGTCTGTATCCTTTAAAGATGTTATAATCAATGTGATTGGTTAAGAATTACTTTTTTAATTTTTTTTTTAATTTTCTTCTCTGGCCTCTTTTGATCAAAAAAAAAAAATAGTCTAATTTCTCGTTTGGTTGTTGTTCATAGGAGGAGGGTGGACATTTCCAGTTCAAGGTTATATATAATCATATTATAATGTTGCTCATTCTTTAATTAGTTAGCACATACTTTATGTCCTGCCATTATCTCAGATAAACAATGGGCCATTCCTGTTTGATTGTGATGATAGAAGAAAAATATATATCAAAAGTGTTGTTTTCTTTGAGGAAAGGGAAAGAAAAGGAAGATAGAGTAGTGAACACACTTATGTTTAACATCTGCTGCAGTGAAATGGAAAACCTTGTCAGATTTTTAAGCCTTTTATTTGTACCCTCTTACTTCTTAATGACCTGCATTCATATTTATAATTGTTATTGTAACATTTTGTGAAAGTCGTTAAGCTCAAATATTTAACACAGCAATTTTCATTTTTATTTTATAGTTGTAGAACTCACAAGGCGCTTATTCTGTCCTTAAATTAAGAATTAAGATTCATCAGAAAATTCAGCTAGGAAAACTATAAAACTTTCACAGGTATTTCTAGTATCTGTCATAGTGCAAAAAATCAAATATATCTCAAATATTCACATAAATTTCAATCATTACAAGTGGCGAATTTACCATGAAATTTATAAAGCTTAAGCTTCAGGCCTCTAATCCCAAAGGGGCTCCCAAAAAAACTTTTTTTTTAATGAGTGAACTTTTCAACAAAATCGATGTGTGTATGAATATTTTTTTTTTTTAATGTTTATTAAAATAAGGCCATTTTAGTGATAGAATCATAAGCAAATGGGTTGAAGTAGTTAATGCTGGCCTTAGAATATGCTCTAATACTCATTTCATATGACCTCAAAATTTCAATGTAATTGATCAAATTTAAAAATTCTCCTATGGGGCTTCTAGCACCCAAACCCCCAGCTGTATAGTCTTGTTGAGCTTGCTAGAATCTATTCATAGCCTACATTTTTAGGAGTTGGATCCTCAAATTTATTGTTGCTAGATTGTGAAGGGGTCCCTATATCTGTTCAAGTTTCAGGACCCCACATATCTGTTTAAACTTCAGGACCCCAAAAATGTAGGTTCGCCACTGGTCATTACTACTTAATTTGAGTTGGATTTCTGGAATTAAACAGACAAATCTACATGTATTAAGCTAATTTACATAAAATGTAATTTTTACAGTTAGCATCTTTATTTCCTATTGTATGTTTAATAGTCCAAAAATGCAGTTGTGTGTGTGCGTGTATATATATATATATATATATATATATATATAAACACACACCTAGTGAGTGTATCTAGGTCTGCTCTACGGTTGTATTGAGAGCTTTGTTAGTTAGTTGTTTACTCGTATCGGGGTTTTTTTCTTTGAGCTTCAGACCTGCATCTGTGCGATTTTTTTGTCGACAGAAGTTCATGTTTGTAGCTCTTTCTTTTTTTAAAACCTTTTTTTCCCTCTAGATTGATTTGATTAGCAAATCAAAAATTTGAGAGTTTTTCGAAACGAGTCTAGTTATCTCTCTCTATATATATATATATATATATATATATATATATAATATCATTTCAGTTGAGTTTCAATAGAAATCAGAAAATGGTGGTTGGCCTTTACCTATTCTTTGTTATATTTGACAGCATAGCCGGTGTGTACTACCCCTGAACACCCCCACCCCACCTAACCTGATTACAGTGTTTTGTGACCCTCACTCTTATCAACATTTGCTTTTTTTTCTATCCACATTTATATACATTACAAATTAAGCTAAGCACAACTATTAAATAATTAAAAATTTTCACAAATCTTGACATCACTCTGGGCCTTTTTCTCATACAAATCCGTGAATTTGTTTTTCTCATATTAATTAAGTCTTGAAAAACACTATATAAAATTCACTGTTTTTTTTTTTTTTTTTCATGATGTTGAATGTGTTAAAATGATTCAACTTTTTTAGCAAGAAAAACCTCAAGTTGATATTAAAAACTACCACAAAACATTGTTGCTTTATTTAAGATGGAATGATCTATTATGACACGTCTCTAATTTGTATTTAGACACATATTGTATTTATTTTCAATTTTTCTAGTTTAATTCTTCACCTATACTACATATGATCCATTATTGTACATAATTATATGAAAATTGAGATGTAATAGTGTGTGTGATGGGGGGTGAGGTTGTACCATAGATGGTGGGTTGAGACCCTTGCACTGGCTCTGTTTGACAGACATTCTAAGTAGTTTAACATTTAGCACTCTGCATCATTTATATTTAAATATTACTTCCCTTTTTACTGTATACCCTCAAAATATAGTGTTTCATATATTAGTTCTATATATTTGAAATTGCTGTAGCCTGGCTCTCAATTTTAGTCAAGATTGTTTTAGCTGTTGCCATAGAAGGATATGACTACACAACCAAGAAATTCAAATTCAACTAGCATTGGCTTCCTTTTTTCAATAACCTGCCAACAATTTTATTCACCATAAGTATTTTGGCATCTTAAATATTGTTTGAATAAATAATGTTCTTGGGCATCTAACAGCAATGGCTTAAAATTCGCTCTTACTGGATTAACGTGAATTCTTAATAGTCTTGCCTGGCTTCAAAGAGAAAATTCTTCATATTAGTTACATTATACTTACCCCAACATAAGGTGTTATATTATAGAGCTCATAACAAATAGATATATTTAAAATAATATTGGCTTACATCCATATCACATTAAAACATTACTTAACTTTGATGCTCATATAGGAAGCAATGTCAAGCCTGGTCAGTATCTAGATAGGTGACCACTTGAGAATACCAGGTGCTGTAAGCTTGGATGTGAGGGGGGCATAATGAATAATAGTTTAAATTTGTTAATCAGAGAGTCATGTTCCAATTTGATTTTGTTATATTTATTTATGTGCAAATACTCTTGGGAAGGTATGAATCCACCACTGCTCTCTCCCATTTATGGGTTAATCAGTAAGTCTTGTATCACTAAATCATTATTATCTAAAAAAAAAAAAATTCTTAGAATCTAAAAATATTTTCTGGCTTTAAATAACCTGCAAAGGGTTGATAAGCCATAAAAATGAATCAATCAAATCAAATAATATTTATATAATTCTTGTTATTGACTTTTCTTTTCTTAGATTATTGCTTGGAATCCTCAAACTTTTGTTAAAGAATTTGAAGATATTTTGCCTGCAATGATTACACAGAGTACTGCTTTAGAGGTAAGAAAAATCATATATATAATTAAAAAAATGAGAAAAGCTTTCCAATAATTTTACTCACACATACACACTGTTTATATAATAAATAATAACTGCCAGCTTGTTTCTGACCATGCCCATTTGCTAGTGTGGATAGCCACTCCCTGTTGTTGCCACCTGTTCTGTCACATTTGTTTGTTCAACACCCACATAGCCAAATTGTGTTTTATACTGCAACTATACTGAGTGAACCTTTTGATTTAAACTTGTATCCCATCCTTAACCAGCACCCTTAACCAATTCAACCATGATAGTATTGAGGGTTAAATAAAACACAATTTGTAGTCATTCTGCAACCCATTCCCCTCCAACTATGTACACCATCCTTCTAGTAGCTATTTTTTCCTTTTTTTTTTTTTTTGTTTTAATCACATCACTCTATGCAAAGTAGTAAAGCCTCTAAGACACAAGGACTTACTGAGTATGAAAGAATAAGAAAAAAGAAAAACATTATTAAGGAGCAAGAACAATAGAAGAGTAATCAAGAAGACAGTCGATAACAATAGACATTGCATTTAAATTTTTGAAGATCAAAATTGGCTGGAAAGCATGGCACCAGAAGAGAGTTCTACAAAAAAGAAGTGTAAAAAAAGAAATAATTTTAAAATTAGGCACAATAAGAGATTTGCGTTCGTACCTAATAACTTTTGTGATGTCAACAAGCACTCATTGCCACTTTTGTGATTTCAATGAATACTTGTTGTCATTTTCATAATTCTCGTTATAGTAAAGACTTTGTAATTGCAGATGCAACTATAGTAACGCCGTTGAACAATACTGGTGTCAGACGCTATCAAATAACACTCCCACTAATAGTACTTGCTCAATAATACTCACTCCAAAAGTAACCACCAAATATTAATCCATATAGTGATCACTTAGATGCCATGCTAATTGCCATATATATATTTACCATCACATGATCTACTTATTCAAAATGGGATCAACTGTGTTCAAACTCCAGTGTCAGCAGCGACACTTTATTTCAATATAAGAATAACATAGAACAATTATAACATCTTGTAATACAAATTATATGACAGATTTATTCTTACTAAACACTCTCTGCATATAATCTTTTTTTCTCAATTTATTAAGAACTTTCACTTAAAGAAAACTTTGACTTATCCAAATTTCCAGCACCACTACTCTTGTACTTTGAAATCATTTACTTTATATTAGCAATCTACCTAAGAAAAATCAATAGTAAATATCTATGCAGATGATACAGCAGTTTATGGGTGTCTAGGAAATTCAGCCAAGTTATTTTTATATTAAAAATCTGAATGTCTGAATTCTAAATAATAATAAAATAAAATGTATTAAAAGTAGTCTTTAGTTAAAGTCTTACAGAAAAATCTGTAGTTTAGAAAAGACTTTTAAATAGTTGGTCTACAGAAAAAAGCTGTGATTAAATGATTTTTATCTTTAGCAAAGATTCACTGACCATCTTTGTTGTTGTTGGAGATGATTTTTGTTTCAGCACATACTGGAGGGAAGGAATAAAAGCTATGTAGTCTTCTCTTGTGAATAAAAGGCTTCATCTGTGCTTGAAAGTCAAAATCTCTTGATTTTTATAAGAATTTTTTCTTGAAAGTAGGCTCAAGGAAAATATTTTTAGTTTTCACTGATTGGTCAAATATTTCACATGGGATGTTAATTTCTAACAAATAGATAATTTGGTTTAAATGGCATGTGTTGTATTCTGGAATCTTTTAGGCATGTTTGTAATATTCTGGTATTGAATAGAAAATAAAGTTTGAACATTTTTCAATATGGTATGTATGTGGGTATGTAATTATATTGGAAATAGGGTTTATTTCCTATGGGTACACTTCCAAAGATCAAGATGATCAGAGCGATATCTCTTCTAGCCTAGCTCTAACAGCTCAATGAGGGAAAAATTGGCTTGTGACATTCAATATCTCCAAAACAAAGCTAATTAACATTTTATCATCAGCGGGCAACAGCTGAATTTTCGATTCTCATGGTGAACTGTTGTTCTCTCAAGGAGGCTCCTTGCTTAGAACCTTTATTGGGACTTAAGTTCACTCTATATCACAAGTCAAACTCATACATACAATCCATCACTAAAAATGCTGGTAAAATTTACTGTTCCAGAAAGTACCTGACTCCTCCTGTCATGCTCTACCTTTACAAAAGTTAGACTGGACCAAAATGGAGTACAGCTGCTATATCTGGGATGGAGCAGGCATCTCAGTGTAGTGTAATGGTTAGCAAGCTTTCTTTGCTAGAACAATTACAACAAAGTAGTGAGTTCAATCCTTACTGGGTACCCCATACTTTTGGCCTTGTGTCAAATCTAAGCCATGCTTAGAAAATCATTATATCTAGGCTTCACTTTCCAACCTTGATAAAGTTCAAAAGTGTCTACACAGCCTTGTGAGTACTGAATTATTTTCTATTCTACAACACCTTTCCCCACAGATGAAATATCATAAATCTCTCACTACTCTATCACTGTTTCCATGGCACAAACTACATTCATTAGTTCCACCAGTTCAGACCTTCATAGCTAAAGACCTACCATGCCATGTACACAAGGACAAATAATCCCCATTCCCTTTGTATTCCAATAGTAAGGAGGAAGTTTCTATGAAAATCTTTCAGACAGTTTCACTATTTCAGACTTTCAAAGCTAAGATCCATCATGTCATGTGCACTGGGGTGAATCATTTCAATTCCCCTTGCATTCCAATAGTAAGAAGGATGTTCCACTTGGACAGCATCTTTCCCAAGAGACACTATTTTGTGGAACTGATTCCCAAGAGGATGCTTTCACAATTGCTACAATCTTTAAGTTTAACTAGCATATCCTCATAGTATGCACTTCTAACCCCTTCCTCTTACATTCATAAAACCTCATTCAATAATCCTCTGTCTTGAGTTACTCTTGGGTCTTTTATTGGATGCACCATTAGTATTATAAAAAAACAAAAATAAACATTATTTGGTAAAACTTAGAAATTGTTTATTTCTAGGGTTAATCACATAGAACTATAACCACACAGAAAGTAAAATTACCTATCAGTCAGGTACTGTACTGATAATTAAAGCTGAAATTTATTAAATTTTAATTACTAATTAATTATATGCAATAAGAAACCAAATTTAAACAAGCCTTTAGTGTACTTTTCTTACATGTAGGTCAATAAAATATATCAAATATTATTTACATGCAAACTATTGTCCGCATCTTTGTTGTTATCAGAACATTTTGGCTTTCATCAGATGCTTGTTGACCTGGGTAGGCTTTAGGGAATTTTGAACTGCTTCCTTTGTTTAATCTATGGGTGTAGATTGTTCTATGTCTAGGGCTATTACATCTAGTTTTGATTTAGTACTTTTCACTTATTGGTGTATATGCAGGTGGTGCAGCTTGGAATGAGAAATCAGAGACCCGAGTTCAAATTTCAATCAGTTTCTTTACATTCACTTACATGTAAATCCCCTTGGAAAAGGTATGCATCCATCTCCTACCACCCGCTATGGGTTAATTAGCATATAGAAAATCATTGTTATCCAAACTATGTTTTGGCTTTAAATAACAAACAAAGGGTTGATAAGCCATAAAATCAAATCATTCAATCAACATATTCAGTTATTGCTCACCTCATTTCTACTGAGGCTAAGTTTGTACTGGCTGCTCCAGGGGTTGAACTCACAATTACTATGTTGCCAAATTCATGAACAACAAAGATGAAAACAATAGTCCACATGTAAATAATGATAACTCCTTATCCTTGAAATTCAGAGAGATAATACTAAATGATTGCAAAAAAAATTTTTTTTCTACAAAAATTATATTTTTTTCTCTTTCTCATTTTCTAAAGGTCTTTCATCGACTGTTGGAGTTACCCTGCCTCACTGCATGTCTAGAAGCTTCTGACAAACTTAAAAGAGGAGATATCAATGACATGGAATCCGTCTCTTTCCAAGCTTTGCAAAATGAGGCTTACAAACCTTTGTTCAATTATATTTTAAGTTCTGACTGTGGACATGGTGATACTATCAACAAGTAAGTTATTTAATATCATGACTGATCCTCAGTGTAATATAAGTGAAGAGAAGTGAATGTCTCAGTGTTAGCATACAAATGAGAGAATAAAGTTAAGATATAAAACTGTTAGATTTGTCTTTGTACATAAGATTACCAGAAATATATTAAACTATAGTTGTTTAAATACCTTATTTTTATGTCTAACACACAAAACCAAATCTATTACTCTCAAATTAAGATACCATCCAGGCTTATAAATTCAGTGTTATTAACAATTAGAAATGCATGTCCTGGGCTAATTGGATTCCCATGTATGGTGATTTACCTGAACTAAATCCAGTCTATGGCATTTTTTCCTTTTTCCAGATTGGGTGAATTATACGAAGCTTTACATGACATGCGAGACAGTGCTCGAGTGATTGTCTGCTCAGAGGCTGTCCCTCATCTGCTGGGGTAAGTACTTTCACTATTAAATGCAAAATCTCTAAAAAAAAAAATTTCAGATATTCTGTCTTTGGTTGATTTTACAAAATTGTTGGGTCGAATTTTCTGTGGGACACCCAATAAGAATCAAAGTCTCTACCCAGTAGCAATAGACAACCAAACTAACCTCACTAACAATTACCCCGCCCTGATATATACCCAATAGTTGATTTTATGACTTTTCAACCCTTGTTGAATTACTGTATTTGACGGCATATAAGGTACACTTTTTTTCCATTTTTTTTTTTTTTACTAAAAATATCTTTTAAAATTCCCTTGCATCTTATATGCCATATGTAAGTTTAAAATTCACAATAGTCTGCCAAAATTAGCTACCTGGCAACTCCTATTAGCTTAGACTTTAGAGTAACTTTCTATACCTATTGTCAATATTTAAAAGGCTATTATGCAGATTAAAAGTGTTATCATTGATAATATTCTTTATATTAAGTTTATTACATTTAATATTAGTATTTTGTTTTACTAAAATTATATGCAACAAATTCAAATTATATATTTGTAAAATATATTTGTTTCCTTAACATTTTTCTTGCAATAACTTCCAGTTGCAATGGTAAAAATACAACCAGAATTTTTATGTCCTAATTATTCCATTAAGACTTAAGTTGTACAGATAGGCTCGTGTTCTTTTTTCCTATTATTTTTCATTTAATTGTAATCATGGCTTGTTTAGCCAAAATAATACCTCATAAATATATAGCCTAGGCTGTACCATTTACTAATAATTTTACTAATTTTTTCTTGATTTGCCCTGCTGAAATTGTGGTGTGTCTTATACACCATCAAATATGGGATTAATGTTGAATTTTGTATGAGGCACCCAGTAAGTATCAAACTGGCTATATATTTTTTTTTAACAGGTTTATTAAAAACTACTGAAACTTTTCATCATATTATCTTTATATAAAATACAATGTGACTTTTTATATATATATAAAGCAACAGTTTTTCATTTATACATATATTATTGTATTTCTGTGGCTGAGCAGTCTAAAGCACACCAGATCTGACAGATATTTCCCCCATAAGGGAAATGCAGTTTCAAACTACACCATATTTTCTTTATTAAGACTTTCAAATGCACAGGCTGACAGACATAAATCTGCTGTCTAAAAAATAGGGATGCCTACTCAGATGCGTCTATCCACTAAACACAGCATTTAAAATAATAAAAAATAACTTATTATAAGTAAAATCCATTAAGTTCTTAGGAATTACTTTGTTTAGATACAAAATAAAGTTAGCAGATATGGGCTTTGTGGGATTTGAACATGAGATGTGCATTTCCTAAATATAGTAACTGAACCATGCTTGTCTGTGAAAGCTTTCCCTGGCTGAGTAGGCTAAAGCACACTAGGCTTGATGGTGGTTTCCACTATAAAAGTGATACAGGTTCAAATCGTACCAGAAATGTTTTAGATTATGCTGAAAATTAGATATTTTTGTGTTTTTTTTTTTTTTCTTTATAAAGTCTCTCAAATGCACAGGCTGGCTGGTGTAAATTTACATGGTTTAAAAAAACAGGATGACTCTGAAAACACATACCCACTAAATATAGCTTTTAAATAATAAGAAATAATGTTGGATTATAAATAAAATCCACTAAATCATCAGAAATTTGTGTTTCTGATCCAAAAATAAAATCAGCAGCAGACATAGGCTTTGAGGGATCTCAAAAAGAGATGTCCATTCCTTAAATAGGGTAATTCAACCTTGCTTGCATGTGAATGCTTTCTGTGACTGAGCCTTATAAAACACCTTGTACTTGACTGCTGGAAAGCATGTTTTCTTTATTTAAGACTCTTGAATACACAGGTCAGCCAGTAGACATAAATTTATACTGTTTAAAAACAGGATGTTTGCTCATACATGTGTATTCACTAAATGTGTATGTACTCATACATGTGTATTCACTAAAGTAATAAGAAAAAATGTTTGATTATGAATAAAATCTATTAATTCCTTAGAAATTCTTTATTGATTGCCATAAAATTTACTTCTTGTTCCTGTTTTTTTAATTTAAGATTCCGGAAATATTTCCCCAATCACTACACTCTTAATCTCTCTCTCTCTAGGTCAGAGATCAAACTCATTTAATAATACTACCATGAGTGGCTCATTGGCCTTGGATTGGATGAATGGCAGTAAAAATAAAAATGAATGCACATGTTTAATTAGACATCTCCATTTTTTTTAAACAGTTTAAATCTATGTCTACTGTCCTGTGAAATTAAGAAGTCTTAACGAAAATGTTTCATCTGGCAGGTATCAAACCAGGCATATTTTCTTTAAGACTCTTGAATGCACAGGCCGATAGACATATATTTGCACTGTTTAAAAACAGATGTTTGTTCATACATGTATATCCACTTAATATAATGTTTAGAGTAATAAGAATTATATTATTGACTATGACAAACAAGGAACATTTAGTTAATTTTTTATTTTTCTTATGTAGTTTCACTTGTTTTCCTATAAGGGAACGAATGGTTAGTTGAAGATTAAGGAAGAATTGTCTAGAGTTCTTATTGGTTAAAATCCATTCAACCATTCTCTGAAAATTTTACCAATATCAATTGAATAATACCAATTTTTTTCTGAAAACATTGACTTGCAAAATAAAATTCAACATGTAGGTTTCAATTTTCAAAAATTTGAAGTCACAATTGTTTTTTCTCATTTTTAGTGTTTATTTTTCTGTGATTCTGGAAGATGGCAATGAAGAATTTGCCTCCTGTCTTGTATCAGTTCTCTTGGAGAGAGTCTCCATGCTCTATGACGTTCCAGGTTACAAGAAAAACGTAAAGAAGTAAGTAGTCATTTAGATGGCCATGTTGACTTTGATTTCATTTATCACATTCAATCTTTACTCTTTTCCTTTTAATGTGACAACCAATTTGCATCTCTTTTCAGAGAAAGTTTCCTTTCAAAAAATGTTTGGCAATTACTCATAAAACACTTTCCTATTTTTAGTAGAATACCATTGTTAACTTAAACTATAATATTCTGTATTTTGTTTGTCATACAGCATTGTAGTAATTTATACCATAAAGTTTTCTGTGACTAAAAGAGGAAGAATTTGGATCCCAAAGCAAACAAGTTGTTCCTGGAGGAGATGGAAACCAAGAGACAGTTGGTCACAACCATAAGGAAGCAAAAACTGCAATATTTTGACCATGTCATCAGGGTCTAGAATATCTGCACTTACATCCCTCCAGGATGTAAGTGCAGATCAATGGCAGCAGATAAAGAAGACCAAGACTGGACTAATGATATCAGAGATTGGATAGGGAGAACGGTGGTAGAGTGCATGGTTTGGAAATTGTCCATAATCTCCCAACCTTCAGCAATAAGGATGAGAAGAAACAAGCAAGCAAGCAGATATAATATATCCAACAGTACAGCTTAACAACAGTGTTTTTTCTTCAGTTTTAAATATGGAAAAATGAAAGCAAAACACATAATCAGACTACATGATTTATGTATTTGTTTGATCATGTGACTTTAACCAAGAAAATATTAAAAAACTACTAGGCACAATGGTCAACATCGACTAAACAAGAGCAGGAGGAAAGGAGTGTTAAACCATACCAGCCATTTTTTATGTGGTCAAACAAAATGGATTTCTTAACTAAAGAAGAAACTTCATCCTTTGTATAATGGCTTATTCTCTCTCCAACAAACATTTTAAATAAAACAAAACTGTCAACAAAGACAACAAAATTCCAATCTTACTACTGGAGTAAAAAGATAGATCACTAGTTTATCAATCAAAGTCATTTTATTGTAACCTCAGGCCTGAACTGGAAGCGTAATCAGATGGACCAATTGGCATAGCCCCTACAACTTTTAGAATGATTACTCCCTCTGGTGGAGGAAAAAGTAGTACCTTTGGTAAAGAATATCGATATTGTAAAATGAATGCAATGTCAATCATTATCTTCTGTCTTCTTAATTCCTGTTCTTTTATTGTTCTCTTTCCTTAATAGTGTTTTTCTTTTTCTCATATTCTCTTTGGGTAGGAGCTGCCCAGTTCTCGCTTTCCAGTCTCAATAGAGTCCAAAAGCATCTCTGCATCCTTGTGGGTGACAAATTATTTTCCACCCAACACCCCCTCTCTCTCACAGACGAAGCATCACAAGCCCACCCCCTTGCTCTATCGCTATTTCCATGGAAAGTGTTCAGACAAACTACAGGGTGCGATGGATAAATTGTCGTCTAAATTACGCTAAAATGGAAATAACAACTGACATCTTATTTTACCCAGATAGATTTACCAAAATTACACAAAATTATCTCAAAATGCTAAAGAGTAAATTTATTCAATAAAATCATCCTTGGCTTCAACCATAACCTCAAAATCTCTTGAAACTCTTCTGTGCAGTCTCCTTGTTTAAGTTGGTAAATGCTGCCATAATCTTTGCTTTCAGTTCATCTCTGGTGTTACAAGGAGTTTTGTTGATCTCTTGGTCAATAGCAACCCACACATAATGACCAAAGGGGTTACAGTTTGAGGTGTTAGGTAGTCAGATGTAAGGGGTGATGTGGTCACAGAAATTATCTGACAGCCATGACTGAGTGCTCCTGCTTGTGTGGTGCAGAGTCCTATTGCCAGACAAAGAGTCTTCCAGCAGCCATCCTCTTGAGCCAAGGCAGCACTACCTCCTCAAGGCATTTGATGTAGGCCTCCATGTTGAGTCTGAGGCCCTGTGAGAAGATGAATGGAGACATAATATTGCCATCTCTAGTGATCACTCCAAACACCATGATGTTTGTCGAATATATCATCCAACTTTTTACGAATCCTCTGCACTGTCCTCAGATTGACACCCAAACACTCTGAAATGTTCACATTGGAGCTTCTGGTGCAAATGCCAAGTAGTAGTGCATGCCATTTCCAAATTTCTGGCAGAGTGAATTGTGTCATGGTGCTCTTTTTCTCACAGATGGTTCCCAACTGACCCTAGTATAATGTGCAGTCAACAAAATCAAAAACAAACAACATGCAAGCACAAAATTAAAAATATAAAATGGCGACAATTTAACTATCGCACCCTGTACATTCCTTAGTTCCAACAGTTCTAACCTTCACGGCAAAGACTCACCATGCCACGCCCATTGTAGCAACCTCCCGTCATATTCCATTGGTAAGAAGTTTCACTCTAGCAGCTTCTTCCTGCAAACCACTGCACTGTGGAACTGGCTCCCAAGAGCATGCTTTCTCAATCACTACAATCTTAACCTCTTCAAGTCTAGGATTAACTGTCATCTTCCCCACATAAAACTGTGCCTCTTACTTTGTAACCCTGTATCTATAGTGGCTTACTGGTTGAACTTTACTGACAAAAAAATTTTTTAAAAAACACACTAACTCCCTTGTGTCTTAGTTGCTTTATTGCCTTACTTGGGGTGAAATGATTAAAAAAATCAAGGAAGATACTTTAGCACAAAATGTTTATATTTTAAAAAAGATTCATAAAAATTTAGCATTGATTACAAAAATATTTGATGAGCAGTTTGGAGTAGGAGTGCTACCTTCCCCAAATCACTTGGACTTCTCACCAGCTTTGCAGGGACTTGCACAACCTTGCACAAAATATTAAACTCCCTACCTTGTAGTTATATTTTAAGTTGCTATCAAATTGTTTAAGCCAATACATTAATTTGCTACCTCCATGATAATTGAAAATATTTTAGTTTTTCTGATAAAATTAATTGCTTCATAATGATTAATATTGCAAAAATCTTAAAAACATTGTCTTCTGCATATTGTGCCCCCTTTTAATATTAAAAAAATAATGCATATTTTTTTATTCTATGTCATCCACAAAGTTAATAAAAGAAAACTGGTATTACATATTTCATTTAGGTACTGTTTATAAGGTAAAAGATTTATAAATCCATTGAAAAATTATTAAAAGAAATATACATAAAAAATCTATTCATATATATATGTTATGGTATCAATAGATGTGTAGGTGGTGTAATGGATTATGGCTCAGAACGAGAAATCTGAGAGCTGAGTTCAAATTCCAGCCAAGTTTGTTACATTCATTTACACAGAAATACCATTAGAAAAGGTATGAATCCATCTCTTCACACCAACCCCCCACCTCAGCTAGGAGTTAAATAGAAGAACAGACTGGGTTCTCTTAGCCTTAGTTGGCAACCATTCTAGAGATGGTGGCTTAATAAATTTGCATATCTCCTAACAAGCCTGAGCCACTTCTGGAGATGGAAATGCACAGCAAGTGCAATGTTTCAGTCATATGAGTGGCGCATTCTGCTGCTGGCAGAGAAAGCATTTTTGTTGTGAAATGTTTTATATTGAGGTACTGATATGCAGATTTAATTTCTGTGGCCGTCTTGATCCCTCTAGGCAGGTGCCTCTCGGGCTGTCTTGATCCCTCTAGGCAGGCGCCTCTCGGGCCGTCTTGATCCCTCTAGGCAAACATCTCCATAAAAATATAAAAGAAAATAAAGAAGACAATGGGAATACTTGATATAAATACATATATACACGCTGAAAAGTTTTTGGCTAGACCAAGGCGGGATTTTTTTTTTTTTTTTAATTCTGATTTTTGGCTATTTGCTTAGATTTTTGGAAATTGGCCAGGCCATGAACTTTTCAGCACTATCTCATAAAAAAAAAAAAAAAAAATAGAAAACTTTATATTCAAATGTGGATCAAAATTAAGAATAAGGTAAGTAGATTGGTTGATTATGGAAGGGAAAATTATTAATCCATACAAAGCTATTTGATTTATACTTAGGTATTTTTGTAATTATTGTTGATGAAAAGCAACAAAACTAAATTGTTTTTTTTTCCTATTTCTGTAGGTTGTTTGCGGACTACATTGTGAAACTGCTCAGTCAATACCCCTACATTGTGATCAAACAGAGAGGGGAAATCATTGACTACCTCATGAACACGCATAACATGACAGATGACCGCTTCTTCATGCACTTGGTAAGTGCTACTTTTCTAAAAGATCTCTTTAGAACTTGAGCATTCTCCATTACTTAAGCATCTTTACAGCCACTGTGTATAGATTACAAGTCCAGAAGAATTAGGATTGAGTTTCCAGTTTCTTCTAAATTCTCTTTTACTCCCAGTAGTCTCTTGTGTCTTAGCAACATTATTGCCTTACTTGAGGTGAATTGATTTAAAACAAAAAAAAGTAGTAATGGGGGGGGTGAATGATATACCAGGTGTAACAGCAAAATTGTCCAAATCATATAACAGCATAATTATTCATCCCACAAAATGTTTAATATCTAAAACAACACTAAACTGAGTTTCTTTTTTCCAGCTTTTCAGATAAGACATTTATCCATCTTAACACCATTTGTTCAGATAAAACATTAGCCATCTTGACGCCATTTGTCATAAGAATCACTGAAAAACCCTTTGAGTTATTCAGCTAGAAAGAGAACAGGTTAAAACTGTTTTGTGTCAGCCCCATTTGTCTTAACTGCGCAATGGTGAGAGAGAAAAAAATCATTCAGGCCTTTAGTAATGGTACCAACATTCATGCTCTGGCTCCCATCTTCAAACTCCATTCAAGAACCATCAAGGGAACGGTGAATAAGTTTATAAAAGAGGAAACAGTAGAGCGGAAAACCGGATCAGGAGGTCACAACAGAAAGAGGGATCATAATTCTAACTTAGAGTTAAGTAATCAATTAGAAAAGATCCAACTCAATCCATAAGACGTTTGGCATGTGAGAGAAGAGTTTCAGCTATGACAATCCAAAGAACAGTAAAAAAATGACTTGAAAATGAAATCGTATTTAAAACCTATGAAGCACCTTGTTACTCTAGGACAGAAAGTTAGAAGGTTAGAGAGGGCAAAGATCATCTTGAATAAGTTGGAAAATGATCCTGGAATAATATTTGAAATTTATTTTAATCCTGCATCATCTTCTGATCTTTAGCTATGATTAATTAATAATGAACATGTCATGTGTGCGACAAAAGAAATAAGATAAAAAGAAGTACAGGAAATGACAAGAAAACAAACTATGGTTTATAATTAACAAAAAAAAAGGTTTTATTATAATTTTAGTGATTATGGTCAGTGGCTAAAAAGGAAAAAAAACTTTATTGGCAAGAACTTAGAAATACTTCAAAATAAATTCAATAGAGAGTTGCTGGGTTTTGTGGTATAGTTTACATGTCAGGTTAGCAAACAGTAGTAAACAGACTGCTCTGTAGCAGATTTTCACTGCACCTGACTTAGCCAGCCAACTTGCTTAGTTTTGGCACCAACCAATAAATACAAGTATCCTGACAGATACCACTTTGTAAGGTCACCAAAAAATATCAAAGAGTTCTTTGAAGATTTTGATTTAAATGACCCAGAACTCGGAGAAATTTCATTTGTAAAAATAGATTCTCTTAATATGACATAAAACAAGGATTCATCTTCTCACCAGCTTTATTTATACAGCAAGGTGCTATTAAGAAAACTAGAGGTTTTGCCAGGATTTATTATTGGTGGGCACAAACTAAACAACATAAGATATACAAATGATGCAAAAAAAAAATTGCAGGTACAATGTAGTAAGGGTAAGCAAGAAGAAAGGACTAACCTTCACTTGTAAGAAGACAGAATGTAGGTTCATTAGCAAAGAGACAAAAGTAGAGATGAGGGAAGATAAGAAGATGTCTTCTCACCAGATTTATTTAACCTATACAGCAAGGTGATCTTAAGAGAGCTGGAGGTTCTGCCATGATTTATTACTGGTGGGCACAAACTCAACAAAATATGCAAATGACACCATATTGATAGAAGACACAAAAAGAAAGCTGCAGTTACAAGGTAGTAAAGGAAATCAAGAAGAAAGAACTAACCATTAATTGTAAGAAGATGGAATGTATGGTCATTAGCAAGAGGAGAACAGCACAAGATGCGAAATATAAATTGGAGTGACAAAAGAAATCAAGTACAGTTGTTTAAATGAGAAATGTTATAATAGAAAATGTGACCTGGAAATCCTAAGACATTGAAATGGTGAAAGTTCCCTTCTAGGAACTAAGCAAAATATTAGGAATCAGGAAAATATTTTTTCAAAAACAAAGATAAGAATTCTCAATGTAATATCAATTCTCCTGTATAGCAGTGAATGATGAACAATTTCCTCACTGATGAAGAAAACTGGAGCCAACAGAAATATACTTCTATAGAGGAATAATGAGAATATCATGGACAGAACATGTGAACCAAGAGGAAGTTTGAAGGAAAATGATGATGAAAGAGACATTTTTGTTTCAGATTAGAAAGCGTTAAAATTTCTAAGACACATAATGAAGAAAGGAAGCTTAGAGAATCTGACACTCACAGTACATTTATGACAAGAGGAGCAAAGGGAAACAGCAAATAACATACCTGACCAGCTTGTATAAATGGATGGCAGAATTTGAGCAGGGAGGGATAGTGAGATTGCTTAGTACTACAGAGGACATTGTGAAGATATGTGATCACCCACATCCTGAAGAGAGACAGCACATAAAATAAAGAAAGAAAGAATATTCAGTATAAATTTCTGCTTAAAACCACTTTTATCATTACACATTTCTTAAACAAATTTTCACCTGAAAAATAATGAACACATTAAAGTAATGGGTTGATAAAGTATTTATAAATTTGGGAGATCACTGTATTTCCTAGACATTTTGAATATTTCAAGAATTGGTTTTGAAGCTTTGATATAATTTGGTAACCAATCAAAGGGACTTTACTGCACATGGATGAACTGAAACTCTCCTATGAGGTTATTCATTTGACAGTGAAGATACCATTGTGTGACTTTCATTCACAATGACCAAGCAAGTTGATTCTTAACATTTCTGCAGTGAATTTTGTTATAGCATCACATCATCTATCAACCTCTGTTACAATCCAAATTTGGGTCCTTGCAATTTCTAACATTTACCAAAGCTAAGATCACTGTTAAAAACATTGAGAAGTAAGAAGAAAACAAGGCAGCTGACAATAGTCCTGAATGACAAATTGTTTTAAAAATTGCAAGGGTCACTTGGATTGGTGTGAGAGGTCCTAAGGGAAGTACATTGGCGAGAACTAAGTTGCCATTACCCTAGGTTTTTTTTTTTAATATTAAATGACTAGATATTTTCATGATGGATCTTGTATATATGAGTGCTGAAAAGTTCTTGGCTTGACCAAGATAGAACCGCCTTCCCCCCCCCCCCCCATTAATTCTGGTATTGATCATTTGATCAGATTTTAGAAAGTGAGTTGAGCCAAGAGTTTTACAGTATTAATTCCTATAGAAGTAGAGAAATAATGCTCCAAATCCAACGTCATTAGATGTTCTGAGTTGGACAATGACAAGAATAATGGTTGAGTGATTGCTGACTAAACTAGCCCATCTACCATGTTTTTCTGGTGAGAAGGATTAAAACAAGTCCTGTCAAAGGGTGGTTGAACTGTCTTGTAGGGTCAACAGCCATCTAGCACAGTGGAGTAGACCAAACTAATAGCTATGTATGCAGCCAGGGTGATAATGACATGGCAGGGGGCTTTCTAGACTGAAGTTAACAGCCAAGACAGTTTCCTCAATTGAATAATTGGCCACGTGTCCATAACCAAGGTAAATCTTCAAGTTGGAAGCTGTGGTTTGGGCTGGAGCAGGATGGGTTCTGCCAGCTCTATTTTCCCACGACACATTACACATGAATGAATATCTCTCTTTTATTTAAACCCAAATATGTGGAAATAACTGGTCAGGTGTCCAGCTATGCTCAGTGATGGGACTGAAGATGATAAGAAATCCCTCCTCTTGCACTTACTTTTATAGTCACTCTCTAAATCATTCTTAGGACTGATCCAGTGTTTATCATGTTTAGCTAACCAAATATACAAATGCATGGGCAGGGCTGGTGCAATGGTCTCATGGCCCCCTTCAAATCTATGATATGCCCCCAGAATTAAAGGCACATCATAATAAATCATTCTGTCTTAAATAAATAAATATTTTGCAGCCATTTTTAACATGAGATTTTTCTTGTTAAGTTAATTTTAACACATTCAACATTATGGATGAAAAATAGTGAATTTTATATTGTTTTTTTTTTCCAGACTTAGCATGAGCAAAAGAAATTCACAGATTTGAACAAAAAAAAAACAAGAGCACAGAATGATGTCAAATTCCATGAAAATTTTTTCAACCTTTAATAGCCAGTTCAATTTATAACATATATAAATTTAGGTAGAAAAAAAGTAAATGTTGATAACATAGTAAGGATCACAATCAGAGTTTAATTCTCCCCAGGCAGTGGGGTGTGGGAGGTACTATGCACTACATAAACACTTATTACATTATATTTGACTCATGATTACATTTGGTTTGTTCATTTTTTTTTTTCTTTCTTTTCTCAGGTATGGAGTGTTGGTGAGTTCTGTAGCTCAGTTTTGGACAGCAACTGTACAGCGAAAATTATTTCTAAATACTATGAAGTTCTTGAAACACTTCTTTATGAATGGTCAAGTATCACCATGACATCTGGACCAGATCAGGAATTCCCACCACGTCTACTTTCTATTCTCATGTCTGCCTCAGCTAAGGTAACTGGCAACTCCTCAAAATTGTTCACTTCTTATTTATTAGTATTGAAAATATATGAAGTGCTACCCAAAAGCTTGGAAAATCTGAACAGCATATAAAAAAAAACTGAATGTAAAACAAGTGGGTAATGAAAAGTTCTCAGTCTAACAAAGAAACCCTTCAAAAAAAAATTGGATCTTTGATCAGATTTTAGAAGGTAGTTTAGGAATAAAACTTTACAACATTCCATTGTACAAATAAATACCACTCGACTTTGGTAGTCAGTGTATTGATTCATAAGAGGACCATTTTGAAGAAGACTGTGAAAACAAAGTTGTTTTATTTTTTATCACAAGTTTCCTTGAATTTTTTGTTTGCACCTCATAAAATATAGGTTTATTTTATCCAAAATGTAAATTCATCACAGAGTTAGTTGGATATTGATTAATCAATCTGTTCAAATTCATCCTGAATTACTTAACAGCTAAAGCAGACATTATTTCAGTGATCATTTTCAGTTTCTTCTTTATTATTTTTTTTAATAAGTGAATTTTTCAACACAACTGATGGAGTTGAATTTTTTAAAGGCTATAAAGATTCTTATTATTTTTAATCTCTTTCAGCTTGCATCTCGGTGTCAAGACTTGATTCCTCGAGCTGTTCTCTGCCTGACCAAAGTCTATAGCCAACTATGTGCCCCTAACGAATTACCAGGTGACACAAAGGATTCTCTGTTGACCACTACTCAAGAACTCATCAACTTGTTCAGTTTCCCAAAGTAAGTGAATCCTTATAAGTCGGAGGTCACCAAATTTTTTTTCACAGAGGGCCAGATAACTAAGAGAATAACCAATACGGGTTGGATGGCTATTTTTTTTAATAAAATACACCGTATACACAAAATAAAGACAACAAACATGTTTATTTATCAAAAAGTTATCAAAGAAGGCAACAGTAAAATAGTTACATCACACCCAGTTCACACATATCCTAATCTCTCAAACTAAGCAGCAAAAAAGATTAGTAAAATTTGTGAAACTGGTGATGGCATCCATAAAAGAAAAAAATAAAAGAACAAAAGGACAGTCGAAGTACTGAGGAGAAATTACTAAGAAATTGTTAGAAAAAATATATATATATTATATTGTACATATGTAATTACACATGTACATACACACAAATATTTTTATGTATGCTATGCATACTATATATGCACTGTATGTATTAACTTACACACACACACACACACACACACTGATACTCACACAAACTCACTAGAAAAAAATTCACTGTTAATAACTCATTCTTGTTTTTTTTAACACTGCATCTATAACTGATTTTTTTTTTTTTTTTTTAAATTTATTGCATTATGGAGAGTAAGAAAGGTTGTGATAGTAGAGTCGATGTATTCATAGGAGATTTACAGACATTAGCAGTGGTGGATTTACTAAGAAACAAACTTCAAGATTGTTAATCCCAGAGAGACCAGGAAGTAAATTCTTTATTATTTTTTTTAATAAGTGAATTTTTCAACACAACTGATGGAGTTGAATTTTTTTAAGGCTATTTTTTAACATAAACCAATGAGGTAAAAAGAAAAAAATGCTTGATACTACAAGAAAAAAGGGAAATAATTTAGTATTTGGTATGTCAAGAGGCGAAATTGCTCAAGTTGGGAAACCCTGTTTTAGAGAAATTTCTTTTAAAGAATTATTTGAATCTATAGATGTCATTATAATGTCCAAAATATTTTTACTATCATGAATTACCTTTACTACCTATATAGATATATTCTATTAGGACAATTTTATACCAATCAATAATGATTGATTTCAAACTTTTGATAAACTGAGAATATACTTACCACAACATATATATAATCACAGACAATCTTTATCCTTAACGAGGACATCAAAAAATTTAAGTATTAAGTAGTCAAGAACATTCAGAAAAAATCAAGAAATATTCACTTTTGTGAATTTTTTTTTTTTTAAATAAAATATAATGCTGTTTTTAATTGCAATTCTTATCTGGTATAAATATCATAAGAGCCAATGCTCTTTCCACTGTCATCCTACAATGTTCCACTTTAGGCAAAGGAAGAAAAGGTAGAGAAGAAAATGGGTTGATAATGTTAATGAGTGAAGGGAAAGATCATTCATAGACATTGGCATGCAGCTGAGACATATGGAGGAAGCTGGTCAACTGCACATTGAACATACAACCACAGTCAGTTATAGAATGGATGAGGATGATGATATAAATTGGTGAATGGACAAGCTACTATTTTTATTTTTTTATTTTTATTAAAATATATGAATTATTTAATGCTATACATATAATCTGGAGGCTTCTTGTAACTTGTGTATATACTGCATTATCATTCAACTCTTGTTTGCTTGCAAGGAACTTTGCTCTATACGTGATAACCAGCTATTTAAAAAAAAATTTTTTTTTTTTTGTTGCAATTTTTTAATAACGTTTATAAATTTTTGAAAACATTTAGTCCTCTAATTCTTTGAGATATGCCATGACAGATTTTTCTAATGGCATCACAGCCTGTTGAAGCCAAAATGAGATCTGTAATCTCATTTGCTCCCCCTACAATTTTGTTGACTTTTAACTTCTTGGTCCTCACCTAGGCCACAAAACAAAAAATTCATGTTTTATAAAATCCAGTTCATCCAACATTGTTAGAAATCCTATGAGCAACACAGTGTTGTCTTCCAGTCTGTATGGTAATAGTAATTATGTTTGTGTCCAGCAACTGACATACCTGTAATTGTTTGACTTTATACAAAACTAGCAGCATGGCCCGGCATTGCCCGTGCTTGATTCAAAAATTGTACAACTCATACAGCAATCGTTATCACTTGACTTAAAATATTTTTGCCCTTCCTTGCCTTTAAAGGAGTGCCCTTTGTCGTGCTGATGTTGCTACATGCCTTACTTCTTGCCTATCTTACACTGTGAAATTTTTCTAAACATTAAATCTGTTACGAAAAAAGAACTAAACAAAATGAACACAAAACAATCAGCTTTAAAAAAGGACTCGTAACTGGAAAAACCGAATGAAAAAAGAATGTTAACAACAAATACTTTTTTTTCACACCCAACCCAATTCTGCGGAATCAGAATCAACGTTGTGTTTAAGCAAGCAAATGAGGCAATTGGAGTAAAGTGCCATGCAGATTTAAATTTTTCCCACTTGTGACGAATGCAGCTATCGATTTTTTTTTTTTTTTGCATGCTAGCATGCTAGTTAACATTCGTGTCAGTCACACTGGCCAATAGAATCTTCCTGCCTATTCATGGCAGCCAGCTATAGGCTCTCACTCTGACCAGTAGAAAATGGCCGCAAACTACATGAAAACTGCCATAGAAGCATGAAAAAATCAATTATTTCTACTATCAATGAAAGTTGGGAAATGCAAGGTCAGTCTTGGCCTTCCCGCTAACTTGGAGCATGTGCATGTAAGTTTTGGCGCAAATCCGTTGAAAATTGCGACCATGCATTCGTTACACACACACACACACACACACATCCTGCCTTTTATAGAGATAGAGTAAATCTATTTTGCATATCTCACTACAGTTGCAAACTACAGTGTAGATGTTCTACTGAACCTGCTTGTTCAGTTTTATTTTCCTTTGGTATGAACCCATTGTGTCTAAACAATGCCTCAAGGATGCATTAAACAGAATAATTCTAGTTATACAGTTTTTTTATTCTTTTTGTTTCTTTTGTTGTTATCACAATATTTCAGCTGATGAATTCTTCATATATACAATAAATAAAGAGAAAAAAAGCTGAAGAATGGATCATCTGAAAGATTGTAATAACAACAGAGGCAAGACAAAATATGAATTCAATTTTCCAAACAATTTTTTAAATGATAAAGATGCATCCAAAAATTGTAGACTATATCTAAAAAAAAAAAAATCTGTTAATTTTTAAACTGTTTCCTTCTCTTCAGTTTACCTTCCTTGGGTTTTTTTAGATTTTATATCTAAATTTCTTTTGAAGCAGCCAAATGGGTTATAGGGAGTTTAATTCCTTTTAACACACTGTTATTTGGCAGATACAAAGGTTAAACATTGCCTAATTTTACCAAATTCTACCAAAGGTTGCATGTAAATGCATTAATTTATTCCAGTTGACTTGCCTATACCTAAAAATAATGAGATTGACAGTTAAGATGTAAATCTTCACTAAAATGTTTGTCATATTGTCAGAAGTGTTCAGAAATAATATACTCTGAACATAGATTTTATATTTTTGTGTTTCTTTTATATAAAATTCTCATAAATTTTTTGTTCTCTTTACAGCTTTGCATCTGTGATATTAAACCCATCTTTAGAAATACAATCAGGCAGGTAAATATATTTGTTTTTAATGTTAAATTTCACCCAATACAAGGCTTGAGAGCCACTCAAGGTAGAAAGTCAACAAAATGGTAAAGTTGAATGAGGTGCGTGATATGAATAGAAGATTATGAGGATAAGTAGGAAATATAAAGATTGACCTTTGACCTGAAAAGGTCAAGAATGAATTATTCAAGGAAGCACTCATGCAGCAGTCTGTCCCACAAAATGTCAATTCTTGGCAAAAGTTTATCTCAGGTTTGAAACACAGAGAACATGAAAGTGATTTGACTCAATAGAAATGGAATGGTATGTCTTTGCGGTAAAGGTCAGAACTGGTGGAACTAAGGAATACAGCTCATCTGAACATTTGCTATGAAAATAGCAATAGACAAGCAACAGGTTTGCAACCTTGTGTCTGTGGGAGAAACAGGTTGTAAAGTAGGCAGGTTGGTTGTTCACTTTTTTTAGAAAATCAACATTGCCCTTGTGAAAGCTGGGGGTTGAGGTGATAAGTATTGATACCAAAAATTAGATTCATAGATTTTACCAATTTTTGAACATTTAGTTTTAAAGATAGTCTGAAAAAATATGCAGAAAAACCTCATTTCTGCAGGTTTTTGCTTACAGACTTCAAAATTTTACTATTTCAATAATAAATCCAAATAAAGTTGATATCTTTTGTATTAGATACATTGAATGGAAAATATATTCAAACCAAAATTTTAATTATGAATCATCACAAGCAAAATATGCAATTTTTTTTTTACTCTATTGAATAAGTAAAAACTGTAAAAAAAATTTTTAAAAAATTGTAAAAGATTACCACAAAGGCTATGAATAAGATATGTTAGATCATAATTAATAAATAATAAAAACAAAAAATAGATAAAAATGTATATTACACCATAAAACTGCTGGGCACAAATTATAAGACAAATGTCTGAAATTTGCATTGTATATTGAAATTCACACTAAAACTATTGCACTATATAACATCATTAATATAGCTAAATTGTTCCCTTTGAAATAAATGAAGGTTTTATTTGATAGCACAATGATTTGGTAATAATGTGCATTCACCATGCATCTTCATATACAATTTGTAAAGCTTTAGTAAATTATAAATTTTATAAGGCTGTGCTGTAAGACTTTCACTGATCACCAGAATGAAATTCAAATGCTAGGATTTTGATCCTAAACATAATCTTTAAACTCATTTCCTCAAAAAAAAAAAAAAAAAAAACTGAAATGATTTTGAAAAAAATATTTTGTGTCATTATTTATCATGTGAAACCCCAACTTTCAAACTGAGTTTCAAAATCAACCTGCCCTATTGTAGAGTGAAAAATAAGTCATCACCTACAAGACTGTGTAAATGATTTTAAATTTCATCAGTGAAGATTGAGTGACTCCAGCTCACCATTACTATTGCTTTTCCCACATCAAAACTAAAAACCTAGAATGTTGTGCAGAAAGACTTTCTAACTTTCTCTAGGCTATTATTGAAACATGGATTCATCTATTCGCTATGAGTAGAACGTCTGCTCAGAGAACAGTGGCAATTAGTGGGTCATTAAGACATAATGCTTTCAGTCGTACTAAATTATTCTCAGTACATGTTCTTTGATTATCCCTTCATTCAACTCTTTATTTCCAGTATTTGCCTTACAGTCTTATTAACCAGCAACTATGAGCATTATACAAACTTTATAACATATCATAAAATCACACATCTTATATATATTCTCACCTTCATATACTGCCTTCATTTTGATTTTTAGGATATTTATACATGCTAACTATAAATAGTTGAAAAAATGCAGTAATGATCTGTTTTTATATAATATGCTTAAAAATTTTCTATTTTTAGTATTCTAATATGGTGCAGATTACTGTAGAAATTCCAATTCTCAGTTGTAACAACCACTTCAAAATCAAAACTTGGCTTTGCAAACAATGATTTGGCAGGATACCCTACATCTATTGCAGGCTTTCTGCTGGTTTATGCTTTTCCACAACAAATACAGGACAGGGTTTGGAAGCCAACAACAGTTCCTGAATTGTTATATGCACTATCAATGTTTATTATAAATATTACCAGAGCAGGGCCAGTGCTAGGGCCTTGAGCCCCCCCTCCCTTATGATTTTTTTTTCTCTTTGCGAGTATTTTATTACAATCTTAACACTAACCCTCACAAACTGCTTTCTTCAAAGATGGTTTTTCAAAGCTCTTAATTTAAACCAGTAGTTCTCAACCTTTTTTTATCCATGGACCACTTTTACTCTTAATTTTTTTTTTTTTTTTTTTTTTTTTTTTTTTTTTTTTGGACCCCCATAAACGTTCAATGGGGGGGATGCTTATTTTATTTTTTACCAATAATTTTAGGAATCGTGTTATAGAAATAGTAAATGTATATACTTTATTTTGAAGTAAAACTAATTTAATGAAAATAAACTTGTATTTAACAACTAAATTCTATGCAACATTTATGTACACTATGTATCCTTTTCAATTTTTATTCAACTTTTACAATTAAAACATGCATTAGAGTAAAAGGGACGCTAATTTATATTGCTTGATCTCATTTCTTGCTAGTTTTAGAATTTTTTTTTCTATTTTTAGTATTCTAATATGGTGCAGATTACTGTAGAAATTCCAATTCTCAGTTGTAACAACCATTTCGAAATCAAATTGCTCTATGGACCACAAAAATATTTCCATGGACCCCCAATTTGCTATTTTTTTGTGCAGATCCCAGTAATATTACATGGACCCTGGCTGAGAATCATTGATTTAAACAGATACATAACAAAAAAGTTATTGATAATTTATAATTTTTCTTATAGATTTTTTGGTTACAGATAAGAATTAACAAGTTATTTTTTTATACATAAGTTTTGTTTCTTGATTTTACTTTTAATGTGAACGCCTAAAAAAAATTCTTTTTTTTTTTCTTTGTAGATGTCATCAAGATAATATGTGCCTGCCAATTGTTCTTCGGGCAACACACAATATGTTACTAGTAGACTGTAGTAAAAAGAAACTCCTTGAAACTGTCAAGTGATTCACTGCCAAATCAACACTGTTTATCAACTGACCAATCTGCTAAACAACTATTTCTGCAATATTTTACCTCAAGAATCTGGCAGACCTTACACGGTGCAAGTTGGAATCATATCAATACACATTGTAAACCGTTCCTAAACAGAGTTGCCAACTTAGCTCTTTTGAACCTAAGTTTAGTTCTCTTTCAGTGCATTTAGCTCCTATAAATTAATATCTCCTTTTTGTTTGTATTTATGAAATAATAAATATTAATAAGAAAAAGAGCTAAACTATGACCAAAAAGATCTAAATTGACAACTCTGTTCCTAAATCGATCACTGAATATTCAAAACTTTTATATGGTTGATTACAGTATGTGTGTGTTTAAATTCTCCTATTTAATTATTTATTTATATTGGAGTCTCTTTTTTTCCAATATTGTTTTATTTAATCAACTATTGTCGTAATTCAAATGAAGGTTTAAAATTTTTAGACTCTAATCAAGAGCTACTTTATTTGAATGTTTTATGTTTAAAAATTTTCTGCTAACAATATGTTTAATGAGTATTTAGATTAAAATATGACATTTAGAATTTTTAATATTAAACACTTACATTTTTCATTTGAAAGCAAATCAATTTCTGTCTGAATTTCTTGGATGAAGAGTTATCATTATTTATACTATTTATATGCAAACTATTGTCCTCATTTTTGTTATCACATTTTGGTCATTGCACCCACCAGCCTTCATCAAGGGTTTGTCAATCTGAATATCCTACAGGGAATTTTGAACTGAACCCTTTATTTAATTTATGGGGATAGATTGTTCTCGTTCCACTACCCATGTCAAGGAATATCTCATCTAGTTCTTGTTTTAATATCATCAAAGATGTGGACAATGGTTTGCATTTAAGTAATAGAACATCAAGTTAAATAATTGCTTTTAAATAAACAATTTATCTTATTTCTTCTAATTACTTTCTCCATTTTTAAAGATGTTTTCCATTTTTATTTATTTGTGTGGATATAAAATAATACTAAAAAAGGTGTATAAAAATAACAAGCAATAAAGCAAACCTTTAATATAGTTAAAATATATGATAACCATTGAGATTAACAATTATTTTATCAGCAAATTGCATAACCACATTTAAATGAAGAAATTGGAAAAATAGAGATTCCAAAATAAGTAATCGAGAAATTTATTGCACATTGATAAAGAGATGCATTCCAAATTGTGACACACATGCACACTCACTTTCAAGTGGAGTCATCTGAGTCATTCATGGGTACATTATACAATTATAGAATACATTTAATGACATTTTCCAAAGAACACCAATAATAAAAAAAATGAGTACATTATCTAATATTGAAGAGATTAAATTTTTGAGCCCTCTGGATATTTTTTTTTTTTTTTTTTTACTGTAAAGAAAAAATACCTTTTTGATCAGTTTACTTGGAAATGTTACAAAACTCAGATTATTTTAAAAAAAAAAATTCACCTGACAAGTAAATTTTTCATAAATATTGTATCTTTCTTTAATTTGTATGAAAAGTGATGATCCAATGATTTCAGTATAGGATTTATCATCTCGAATTTAAGCATCATTTTTTTTTCCCCACTTTTTGGAGAAATATAACCTGATTCTTTAAAACTGCTGAATATTGCTTTTGCTCTGGCCATTTTTCTGCAATTGTTTTTTTTTTTTGTTTACTTCAGCTATTTTAACCATCATATTAGATATATAAAGAAATTCCCAGTGACATTTTATTTAAAAGAAACCAGTGAACATACATTAGAACATGGCTGTTTTTTTTTTTTGTTGTTGTTTTTTTTTGTTTTTTTTGTTGTTTTTTTTAGGACTAATTTCTATGTCTTTGTTATCTGTTTTTCTATAACATTGATTCAAATGCTGTACTAAACTGCACTCTCCACCATGTATGTCATTTTGAAATGCTTGACCTTGATCTGAGGGAGCATGCATTTCACCAACTACTATTTCCTATGCATTTCACATCCAACCCTCTTTTGTCCTAAACTCATGATTTTCCATCAAACAAGATGAATTTCACCTAGACTCTCATTTTTTATGTCATCTTCTAAATATCCCTAAAGTTATTTTTAAATTGCAACTTTTTTTTTTTTTTAAATCTATGACTACCATATGCTATTGATGTCTATGATCTATTGCATAGCTATTGATATATATGCTTGACTTACTTACTGGATGATTTGTGTAACGCATATGTATAAAATGTTATTCCCTACCAAATCTAACTTCTTGTGTCAATCACAAAAACCTACTTAGTAGGAATAGCAAATCATAATAGGTGCAACTCCTCAAAACAAGACTCGACTACTGCGTAAATTTTAAAGGAAAGATATTTTTATTACACAAATACAAAAAAGGTAAAAATACAAAGTTTGAACATTCCTTCACATTTTTCAATGTTTAATATTTATTATTTTAACTTCATACTATTGGTGTGCTCTCTCTCTATACATGAACAACCATACTTGATTTATTTTTTTTAATAGATTTCCAATGTTATATAACATTCCATGCAAATGTGTTGGGAATGCAAAGGCAAAACCAGCCACACCCTAAAAATAAGACTTACTATATTGAGAATCACTACCTAAATACCTGAATATGACCTAAAAAAAATGGAAGTGCTGATGAAATTCATAAAGTTCACTGGAAGACCAAGAACTTGTAAAAAGAGACATCAGATGTAACATGTATGGAAGAGGAAGAACATGCTCACTTCCTCAAACCTAAGTTGTTTGACATTCCAAAATGGGATACATAGAAAACTGAAAAAAATAATCCAAGAGTAGCCATATACCATTTCTTTTTAGGCTATGTCAATACAAAAATTGCTACCCACAAAAAATTGTACTTTTTTTTTTCTTTTTTTTTTTGCGATAACACCATGAAGAGGCTATTCAAAGTGAAACAGAAGGAAAAGACTTTGGAAAGGTCTGAAAACACAATTCTAAAAAAGAAACAAGGGATAAAACTCTACTCCTGTTTAAAAGGCCAGGGAGGTGTGTGAATTGGATGATAAGTGAACCTATCTACTCTTATTGAGAGAAAAAAAGAAAAAAGTAAATAAATAGTAAATAAAATTTCAGAGTTTAGGTGGAGATGTTAGAAGTATAGAATTGAAGTAGGACCTGGAAACCCAACCCTAGATAGAAAACTTTATTCTTGATCAAAAAACCTATTGAATATGATGCCAATATTTTAATTTTAATTACCATGACTCAAATTTCTCAGATGATTTAATTCACCCTATTTAGTTATATACACTCAAGAACAAAACATTATTTTTATTATTTACTGATATTTATTTTTATTTCAATTTGGTTTTAACAAATTTAAACTTTATTTAATTTTTGTTACTTTCACTTGGTGCATTTTTCCTTCAATTCAGAAAAATGTAATTCTTATTACAAAATTCTTATTACATTGTGAATTTAAAAATTTAATTTGATTCGAATAACACAAATAAATGTGCATTACAAGTTTTTTTTAATTACCATAATCTAGACTCCTGCTCTCCCTAAAAAAAAAAAACATTTTTGGCAATGTTTAACAATGTCTCAAAAGGATGGTTATTCCCTTGACACCACTATTACTGTATACACTTTTGACTCCCTCAACAATGTTTGTTTTTTAAAAAGGATTAGAAGTTTAATAAAACCCAAACATATAAAAGTGGATTTATACATTTTCATTATTCTTGAGAATTGACAATAAATATATTAAACACTATTAGATTGTTTATTTACAAGGATAATTTTATATTTACAAGATTATAAAAATATATGAACCAACTATGATGAAATATTTATTACTTACCATTTTATAATAAAATAAATGTGAAAAGAAATTTTTTTATTCATTTTTTGGGCATTTCACTGAAATAAGTTGAGTGCATGTCTTCCTCTGAATCAAACATTCTTTTAATTTATGTTTATGTCTTATGTCTATTTAAATTTACCTGTTTTATAGTTATTTATAAAATTGTAAATAATAAATATTTTGTTGATTTACATATTTTGATAATTTTGTAATCTTTTTAAAAAAATTTTAAATAAAGATTTCTTTTCAAATGTAAATCTTTATAAAAGATAAACAATAAATATCACATTGTACTTGGTTCACATATTTTTATAATCTTATAAATAACCATTGCTGAGAGAGTCAAAAGTGCATATAGTAATAGCGGTGTCAAGGGAATAACATCATTTTGACAACCCAGTTTTTTTTGGGGGGGTGGGCAAATACAAAGGTTAAATATTGCCTAATTTTCACTCTACCTACCCAAGGATGTAAATGAATGTAAATGCATTAATTTATTCCAGTTGACTGCCTGTGCCTAAAAATAATGAGATTAATGGTTAAGATGTAAACCTCACTAAAAATGTTTGTCATATTGTTTTGTTTATGATATCCTATTCTGACTTGTTCTCATCTAATTCTGAGAATATCTAAAAATCTTTTGCTCTATCTTGGTTATACGATAGCTAAACTAATTGCCAAGAAGAGTCAAGTAAGAGAAAATGAACTGAACAGTTTTATTTGCAGCAGTAAATGTATATACTAAGTTTGGGCTATATTTTACAAGACATTTTATCCACAATGATTAAATTAAATCTTATGTTGCTGCAATACAAACAGAAAACTGTAAATACAATTTTGCACAAAAAAAATTAACAATATTGTCCAATTTCATTTTTATTTTTTTCATTTGGTTTGTGTAACATTTGTTTACCTAAACAATTTATCACTTACCTGCAATTGGCCCTTTAGTTATGACATCCGTGTGTGTGTGTGTTTCGTTATAGACGACTGCCAAGGCACTGCAATTAAGATTTTTATTTAATTTTTCTTGTGTTTATATAAGTGTTTTCTTTTCTGAACAGAAAGTGTGTAAAAACTGTTCAAAAGTTTTGCATTTTTGAGCACTTTTGACTATATAGAGTTATAGAGATGTTTTATTTTC